AAGAGAATCTGATGAGAAACACAGTTGAAAGGCTTTGAGAGGTCGCACTGTGAAATCATTAAGTGTTCTCCCCTTTCCAGCCCCCGACTATGTCCTCCACCACCCTCATCAAAGTTCTAGTTGTGGAGAACTTGCTTCTGAAACCAAACTGGGCAGAGTCAAGTAATTGATTTACTTCAACAAATTTATATAGCCTCTGTTTTAACAGGACTTCAAAAACTTTAGAGAAAACAACAATGATAGAGATAGGACGATAATTATCGACCATCTGAAGGTCTCGGTTTTTAAATTGATTGATTTGATTGACTCCGTGGAATCCGACTTAAAAATACATTCAATATATCAATTGGGTAGAGATCACATAAATGCTTTTCAGTATCTACGCCTCCGACATTTAAAAATTTAAAATCGCTGAAAAAAATATGAGCAATTCAAAAAATAATACCTTTTGCGCAAATGCAGCCTTATCCAAAATCAATGGCAGTTTTAGAATTTCGAATAGAACAAGATTGCTTTCGCAATCTCGTCAACTTAACACGTCGAACTTTGTTAAACATAAAACTTTTTACGGGTAATTGCGATTTCCATTGATATTATTTCAAATAACCTGCGCTCCCTGATTGATGGATAAATAGAAAAATTGTAGCAAGAATATAAGTTGATGAGGTCTATCCGTAAATACCAGAAAATTCCCCCCAGCTCCCTCCACTTAAATATAATTAATTATTTGTTTAAATTTGCAACCCGATACAAAAACCGTTCCCGACGACAAACTTGTGGGAATATTTGGAATATATTGTAAATAAGCGAAATATAAAACATTTTATCAAAAACCACTCTTTTTGCCAATGTTTTAGCGGAATGGTTAATATCGACCTCGATCCAATATTGTCATGAACATGTCGTGATTTTGCCCAAAAAATTACATTTTTAATTTTCTTAAATACCTACGTTGCTCCGAGAAGGTTGAAATTTTTATAGAAGATGGAGGTCAATGAGGTCTTCCCGCCGATACCATAAAGTCCCCCCAACCCGCTCCATTTAATTGTAACTAAGGATTTTTAAAAAAATTGCAGCGTCTTACAAAAACCGTTCCCGACGGCAAACGGTACAACTTGAATGAGACTTTTTGGTATCGTCAGATAGAGGAAGGACAAAGGTATATAACATATAAACTTCAAATTCTCAAAATTATAAATAAGCGAGATATAAAATTTTCAAAATTAATCATCGATTTTCAAGCCGATTTTTTAGCCCAAAATGCGATTTCGAGGTGATTTCCCAAAAGTGGGTAAAATTCTGCATAGAGGGGTTTTAAAGGACGGGAAATTCGAATTTGTAATTATTTTTTGAAAATATCCATAAATTATCAACATTTTTTCGAAAAAAAAAACGTTTTTTACCAATATTTGCGCCCCGGGCAGGACTAAAAAACTTATAAATAAACTTTTTTTTTTTAATACCCGAACGACCCCCTATCTTTGTGCCAAATTTCAGCCGGATCGGTTAATATCGACCTCTATCCAAAATTATCGTGAACACCTGGTCGTGATTTTTCCCAAAAATTTAAATTTTTGATTTTTCAAAATATCTACGATGTTCCGAGAAGGTTGCCATTCTTATGGAAGAGGTCTATCCGCAGATACTATAAAGTTCCCCCTAGCCCCTTCCATTAAATTGTGATTAATTATTTTTCTAAAGTTTTCAGCCTCCCACAAAAAACGTTCCCCACGGTAAACGATACAACTTGGGTAAGACATTTTGGTATCGCCGGATAGAGAAAGGACCAAGGTATAGAACGTACGGACTTCAAATTCTCAAAATTATAAATAAGCGAGATATTAAACTTTCAAAATTAACCCAGTCCAAAATGCGATTTCTAGATGATTTCTCAAAAGTGGGTAAAATTCTGCATAGGCGAGTTTTCGAGGACGGGAAGGTCGAATTTGAATTTATTTTTTGAAAATATCGATAAATTTATTTAATCGTGTCTGAACTACAACTTGTGACTAGAAATTATTAGATATTGTTTATATATCACTCCAGTGTCTGGCGCATTTCACAGCATTTTCATTGCACGGATGGTACATGGGGCTTGTAGGGATTGACACGCTAGAAGGTGCTCCATTGTCTGGGATTCTCCACATTCACACGTTTCCTCTTCCACGTATCCCCATTACAGGAGGTTGTTCTTGGATCTCCCCATTTAGCACCGGAGTCGGTTGAGGGTTTTCCAGGTACCCCAGTCTAAGTCAGAGCCTGCAGCAAGGTTGGGATGTCGTTGACTGCTAGGCGCTGTTCCCATTTTGTCTCCTTGGTAGCAGTTTTAGAGGCTGTGCGGAGCTGTGTAGGTTGCATAAAGCCTCACCTTGATTTCAGTCTGGCCGCTGCCGGAATGTATTGGTACATAGGATGTCTGGTGTCTTCACATTGTCTGCTTCGTTCGGCCATGGCTAGGGTTTCCCTACGTATTTGCGGTGGAGCAATTCCGGCTAGCATGTAAAGCTGATCAAGGTTAGTGGGTTTAAGCATCTACACGTGTCATTCAGGACAGGGTCCAGTCTATGGGCATGTGATTATCTCTCCCATACGGGGGATGCACACTCGGCTGCGGAGTAGCACAGTGCGAGGGCCGAAGAGCGCAGGACGTTAGGGTCTGCCCCCCATCGAGCATTAGTCAGTTTCCGGAGAATACCGTTTCTGATGTTGACTTTGGCCTTGGTTTTATCGATATGCTTTCTGAACGTTAGGGAGCGGTCTAATGTAACACCTAGATAGACTGGGTTTGGGCAGTGTTGCAGTCTGACTGAGTTCCATTCTATTTGTAGTTCCCTTCTCGCCTGTCGGTTATTGAGGTGGAATAGGCATGTCTGCGTTTTCGCTGGATTTGGGCGGAGCTGATTTGATCTGTAATAATCATTCAGTCTTGATAGGGATTCTGTTATCTGCTCGTCTATCTCTGCGAAGTTTTTTGACTGGCGGGTGATAGCTAAGTCGTCGGCGTATATAAAGCTTCTTGTTGATGGGCGATCGATAAATTATCTACATTTAAAAACGTTTTTTACCAATATTTGCGCCCCCAGTGGGACTAAAAAATTTATAATTAAACAACCGACTATTTTATTTTAATACCCCCCCGACCTCTTTTCGTGATTTTTCCCAAAAATTTAGGTTTTTTATTTTTTTAAATACCTACGTTGCTCCGAGAAGGTTGAAATTTTCATAGAACGAACCTGGAGGTTAATGAAGACTTCCCGCAGATACCATAAAGTCAACCTCAGCCCGGTCGATTTAATTGTAATTAAGCATTTTTTAAAAATTTGCAGCGTCTTACAAAAACCGTTCCCGACGGCAAACGGTACAACTTGTGTGAAACTTTTTTGTGTTGTTGGATAGAGGAAGGACGTAGGTATATAACATATAGATTTCAATTTCTCACAGTATAAAATAAGCGAGATATAAATCATAAATTGCGGACCATCGATTTTTGAGCTGGTATTTCAGCCCATAATGTGATTTCGAGGTAATATCCCAAAAGCTTGCAAAATTTTGGCTAAAGGGGTTTCTGAGGATCAGAAATCCAAATCACAAACTACTTTTTGAAAATGTTGACATTTCATGACGATTTATGATATTATTGACTATGTATTTCCGAATATCTCACGCACCCTGTATAGTAGACGAAAGCTCTAAATCCGAAAATTGTAGTTCTCGATACAGTTCATAATACGTTTGAAACCAAATTTTCCTATCTTTTACAGTTTTTCATTTACTGCTAATAATTTATACACGAAAACGGCAATTTTCATGGTACTTTAGATATTTTGCCCATAACCGAGACACCCTGTACATAATCGGAAAAATTACGGAAATCGAGATTAAAACCCTGAATCTCCCACGTTCCGTGGTAGATAAAGTTTGCCAATAGAGCAGATGGTTTTCTGGAAAATAATATTTATCTGAAACAATGCAGCGCACAGCACGTGGTAATAGTGACGTCATCGCTTCTATATTGAGCGTGATTTTCAAATGGATTTTTTCAAATATCTAGTGCAGCGTGTGTGGTAGAAGAAAACCGTAAATACAAAAATTTTAGCTCTCGATGCGGCCTATAACACCGTTTAAACCAATTGGTCATATTTTTCACGAATTTTGATTTACGGTTAAGAATGTACTTTGGAAATTGACAATTTTCAGAGTCTTTCAGATTTTTGGCTATAATTAAAAAACCCTGTATATAATCAAAAAAATGCCCGAAATAAAGGTTATAGTCCGGAATCTTGTGCGTCTTTCGGTTCAAGAATTTTGTCGATCGGGTAAAGCATTTTCGCAAAATGAATTTTTTTATGCAGCCCAAAATGACGACAAAAAATTTAGTCCATACAGAGAACAGAGAACCAGACAAAAAAAAACGTTTTTTTCGACGCTGATCATTTCTGTACCAACGGCGGTCCCCTAGGACCAACCGTTTCCGAGATCTGGAAAAAGTTGACTGACGCGTATACTTTCGCAAAAAATGAATTTCATTCATTTTGCGTAAGTAACAAGATAAACGTCATTTTACGCTTACGGTAATTAATAGCCACCTACGAATTTTGCTACAAAAATTTAACAAAATACATAAGGCAATGCTAGATTGCTCTTGGGTGCGCTTACGCGTAAAATTTTTAAGGAAATTTTAATGTTTAATCAATTTTAGCCATTTATCGGGGGAATCTGAAATTGTTTTATGAATTATCAGTCGAAAATGTTCGGTAAAATCCGCATCGAGTCTATTACTAGCGGGAGATGAGTATGATTACTGAGGGCGCCATCTATTGAGGAAAAGATTTCTTTTGGTAAACACCATATTTATCTAACTTGCAAACAAATTTCAAATTATGTTATATAGATTTGTAGAATTTTTTACATGATATACATATTATTGAAATATTATTTTATGAACGGATATTAAAATCTATTCAATAAAATTATCAATCTGCTTTGGGCACTTCCAAAATTATTCTGTGGTGGAAAATTGGAATTGTCAATGTCATATTATTTGAAGAGTTGTCTAACGGGAAGAAATTGATAATTTTAGTGTTTTCTGTTCGTTTTTCAAATTTTGTTTTGTAATTTTTATTTTTCTGTTGTTTGCAAGGAATGGATGACGCTGAATTTGCCCATAGAGCCCGCAAGAGGATAAAGGAAGTGAAAAGGAAGGCTAGACCAGGTATAAGGTTAAACTTAACCCTAGAAATACCGAAAATCATGAGATATGCCTTTTTTTACCTAATTGGGATTTTTTTTTGTTCTAGAGTTAAGCACTAAAGAATCCTGGTACCAATGCAATTATGCTAATAATTTCGAAAAATTTCATAACTTTACAGATTGTTGCGAAAGAATTGACCAGTCTAAAGTTTCTCAACGAGAATTTATTTCTAGTTACGAACTTCCTTACAAGCCTGTTGTAATTACTAATTGCCAGATCGGGTGGCGAGCTATCGAGAAATGGACGTTGGAAAGACTGGCGAAAAAGTACAGAAACCAAAAATTTAAGTGCGGAGAAGATAATGAAGGTTACAGTGTGAAAATGAAGATGAAATATTATATTCACTACATGCTCAACACTAAAGATGACAGTCCCTTATATATTTTTGATAGCAACTTTGGCGAGGTAAGTCAGTGGCTGCATTTGACATTTTCATTTTCATATACACTTCTTATGGTGTTTTTAGCATCGCCGCCGTAAAAAAATATTAGAAGACTACGAAGTGCCGTTATACTTTAGAGATGACTTATTTAAATACTCAGGTGAAAGTCGCAGACCACCATATCGTTGGTTTGTAATGGGACCAGCTAGGTCTGGCACCGGAATTCATATTGATCCTCTTGGAACAAGTGCCTGGAATGCTTTAGTAGTAGGACATAAACGGTATAAGAAGATCAATGTTTTCAAATTTTTACTCACTGCTAATTTCCATTTATAGCTGGTGCCTATTTCCTACGCATACTCCAAAAGAACTTTTAAAAGTTACTGGAAGTCAAGGTGGCAAGCAAAGAGATGAAGCTATAACATGGTTCAGTATTATTTACCCAAGAACAAAAGAACCATCTTGGCCTGAAGACTGCAAACCTATTGAAATACTACAGAAACCTGGAGAGACAGTATTTGTGCCTGGTGGCTGGTGGCATGTAGTTCTTAATTTAGATACAACAATTGCAGTTACTCAGAATTTTTGTAGCAGAACCAATTTCCCAGTTGTAGGTGCAAAATAACTTAATTTCTTTAAATAGATGTACATGTAACCATTTTTTAGGTTTGGCATAAAACAGCGAGAGGAAGACCGAAACTATCCCGGAAATGGTTAAAAGTTCTAAGAGAAAAGGAACCAAACCTAGCAGCCTTAGCTGATAGGATTAATATAGAGCAACCCTCAGGTAACAGCGCGAATATCAGTGTGATTTTACATTTTATTGTAATCTTTCTCTGTAGGTGTTGCATCTGATAGTTCAAGCAATTCCTCAAGTTCAAGTTCTGATTCAGATTCGTCACATTCAGATTCAGAGGATGAAGACAGTGGTCAGGAGTCGATAACAGCAAAGAAGAAAAGAAGAAAATCTGATAATGAATCTGAACGGAACAGAAAAGCAATTAGAAGAGATGTGAGTAGTATCCCGTTAATTTTCATGCTATTGGTGAATACTAATTATTTAGGCAGAAGATCCCTCTTTACTGTGGACAAATAAAATAAATCCAAGAGCTTCCACTTCTCCCTCTCAAAAAATGGAGCGTGATTATAGTTGAGAAACAAGAACAATATAGACAATTTATATAGTATTTTTAATAATGTTAAAGTTATTTAATATAATAGTTAACAATGCTCTCTTATTTTTTCTTGATCAATATATCAGCTATTTTGTCATACCTTTTATATATGTGTGTATATATGTATATAGTTCGGTGTTGAAAGAGTACCAAGAAATGGAAAAAATAAGAGAGTATTTAAATAGCATTTTCTTACTAGTCTTTTCTGACCAAAAAATATGTAGAAGATTTGGAGGCTAGAAAATAATCTTCGCATTGGTTGGAGGCAAGAAAAGAAGTTGTCAAATTTTATAATTTTTTAAATAGCTTTTTTGGATGTTGGAGAAAAATATTCTTCCAAATAGTAAACCAGAGTAAATTTGATAAAAAGATACTAGTCATGCCTGCAGTTCATAGAAGTATTTTATCGCTGCAAAATGAAAGACCTCCTCATAAAGATGATACAGGCAGCTCAATCAATGCAAATGAACAAATCATTCAATTAGAAACAAATCTAAAGAATTAAAAACTTTACTTTTAGAATTCGAATTCAATTAACATTGTGAAGCTACAATCGATACATAAACACCATTAGTGTTCTGTCCAAAAATTTTGTGCTTTTCGTACAGAGTGAGAACCTTGTGATCTAAACGATGTAAGAAATTTTATTATAATTTTTTTTAAGGGGATATCAATCAAAAGAGTGTCTGTTTAGTTGAAATTTCTATTATATTTTTTTTTGTATTATCATTTATGGAGTATTATAAGCTATTTTTGCTTTAGGTTATGCCGACGATTTAACACTATTTCTGATTACATTTTTATTGGTGACTTTGTGTGTTATGGTTTAATATAATTTTCATCAAAACATAATGCGACTTTTATTGCCTTGATTTTTACCCTAAATTCAGTTGTCCATACATGATTAACTTTTTTTTTTTCATTTTAAACAATCAATATACAAACATTTAATGCCCTCCAAAAAATATCCCTTAACATTTCCTTATAGTTATTTTAAAAAATTATTCATCATTTAACTTGCAGAAATAAAAGGCTAATGAGTTCAGGGCTAAAAAATCGAAAATACAAGTGATAGCCCTCTTCCTATTAGTATTAACATCTCAAACTTTCAAAATATTTATTTTTCGTTATTCTGAATGATTTTGTCCATATATTTTTCAAAAGTAGTTGATTTTTTTGGCCCGGTCTTATTAGGCATTCAAAAATTAAGAGAAGCTGGGTAAAAAACAATTTGAATTTGGAAGATTAGTCAATAAAATTATAACTTGATGACAATGACACTGACAGATAGAGGAGTGTAGTAGGAAAACAGATGTTGTGGAGGATGCAGAGACTCAAAACAAAAAAAAAATGTTAAAACTTTATTCCCGAGAAATGCAAAAAAATTATATATAAATTATGTACTTTCTCCCATGCTAAATACTTTGGAATTGTTTTTAAAGAGAAGATAATAAATATATTAAATGTGTATCTGTAATAATATATAGTATATAAAGAAACTTAATAATTTGTGTAATCGTTATTGCACAAATAACCAGACCCGTGTTTTCTAACGAATTGTTCCATATTTGTCAACAATTAGCAAACAAAAAAACAATTTTGGAATGTTCTAGTAGAGTATTTTGATACGTTATAAGCGTTATAAAAGTATAAATAAAATAAAAACTTGAAATTAGAGATTTGATTTCAAAAATGGTTTTTGGTACGAGTGAAATGACTTGTTCACGGGTTCTGCATTAAGCGGACTAGATTTCGCCGCATCAAACAATCTTTTGTAAACATCACCATCGTACGCTCCCAAAGCAGAGGATAGTACCTGATCGCTTATATCAAAACTATCGACCAAACCCACAGCGTTTGGCCTCAAAGCAGCTAGCAATTCCTCTAACCAGCTTTGAAGTATTTCTACATGACTACTTGATATGTCTGTAAACTGCAAGAAATACATTCTCAGTTTCCGTTTCTTAAATAATTTCAATCACCTTAACATCTAAAAAAACTCACCCTCAATAAAGAACCAGTAAGTTTAAGAGCTGTATTCACGGCGTAGAGCTCCAAAAGTTGGTTGAGAACGCGCTTTAGTTCAGGCGACACTTGTAAATTCTCAACGGTGTTGTAATAAGTTTCCACTATAAACACCCTTCCGTGAATATCGGCTGTTTCTACTAGCTCCACAGAAGTATTATTCCAAGCATCTTCAAATGCTTGCCCTTTCTTCACTCTTTCATTTATATGCTTCTCAGCTAAATCAATTTTGCTGTAAGGAAAATCAAAGTTGAAGAAATCCTAAAACAAGACTTTATTGGGCACCTGGCAGCAGTTTTTTGCAGAGCAAATATAATCCACTTCACTGACTTCTCAAAGGGCCTGCGCTGATGTAAAGCGGTTTCTAAATATTTAAGGGTGGGCAATGTTGATAAGTTTTTCTTGCTCTGCCACATTTTAATCAAAAACCTAGCAGTCTGCAGTAACAGAACCGTGTTCTCGCCTTCATAAGTACACATAGCAGTAACAAGGCCATATGTTGATGGCAAATTGGATGCCGTCATATAACCGTGTCCTCCACATGCCAAACGGCAGGTCTCCACCCCAGCAGCTGCATCTGCACTGCTAATAGCTTTTAAGACACATGCTGTAGCATGCAACTGGTGAATAAAAAAAAACTGTTAGGGAATATGGAGCAATAATAGAATCAATTCTGACCTCTGGCAAATTATCTAACTGTCCTGTTTCTAATTCTGATGTCACATTATTGTAAACATCCCAAAGCCAAGTGGCAGAATGCTGAAACGCAAAACAAGTTGCTATATTGGGAAACAACTTGTGCTGTTGAGTAACAAAGTCTATAATTTGAGGTTCAGGTTCACTAAAAAAGTAAGACATAAGGAAATATAGCCCATAAGCACTGATGAAGGCTTACTTTGGTTTAATCTGGGACTGGTGACGCACTGCGCTGTACCTTGTTGCAATTGTCACTGCCTTTTTCAAATAAGTAGCAGCATCTTGCACTAATACAACCCTGACAAAAATCATAGTACCATATGTAAGTTTACTACTTGGTGAACTTACATAAGTACCATCCTGCAAGCATGTTAATAGTAGAACATTTTAAAGTGAACCTTAATGTACGCCTTACCGGCAGAACTTTATTATTTTTCATCAACATATTGGTTCTAGGTATACGGACATTTTTAAATCCAAGGTAACCATTATTAGTGCTGTTCATTCCTAATTTACAACCAATTTCACCAATGTCAATCCCGGGCAGAGGCAAATGAGTTTCTTCATCTCTTAGCTGCACTATGAAGGGATGAATGCCGTGACATTTACCGCCTGTATAAAGTTGCGCCACTACCACAGCGTAATTGGCTGCGTGGCCCACTAAAAATTATAGTCACAGAAAATCTATTAATAAGCAAAACATTGGGATATAATACATACATCCCCCAGGCCACCATTTATAAGCTGTTATCGTGGGACTATTTAGCACAAATTCTTCGGTTTTAGGGTCATATGTGGCTGTGGTTTCTAATCCCCTAATAAATGTACCATGGCCTAACTCAGTCTACAAATGAAATAAGTAATTTATTTTTATTCTTATCTTATTTCAAATAGGCAATACTTGTGCATAGGTTCCAATAATATCACACTGCCAAGCTTTCTCTATCCATTCCGCTTGCTGATCAAAAGTACCTTGTCCCATCAGGGTAGGTATAAACATTACATAATGGAGGGAAAAGGGATTTCCATCTCCCAAAATTGCCGTTCCTAGCTGCCCACCCAGTATTTCCCTATTGAGAAAAGAAAATGATATTTTCAAACTTTATTAACACTTTTAAAATGAAGAAACTTATCATTTAATAGAAAGAGTTCAACTATTTGTGAAACTAAATAGTAACATTATTGTACTTTATATATATATATATATATATATATATATATATATATATATATATATATATATATATATATATATATATATATATATATATATATATATATATATACTGCCAATTTGGCACCATTTGTGAATAAAACTTATTCATGTGGCACCATATATAACGTTCCGGCACCCACTTTCGGGTACCACAACGTTTAGCCATGAAAATTTCAAAATTGGTATCCCCTCCTTCTGTAACGAATTCTGACAAATTTTTTCCAGGGAGTCATATGGCTCATTTATATCGCCTTTTATACGGCAGGGGTTCACCCGGTTCAATGCTAGGGGGCGCGCGACAAAAAGTTTGTACATAAAGTAGATAAAGTCTGTATTATGTGGCATATAGACAATATTTCGACGTTTAGGCACCCAAAACTTGGCAACGCCGAATTCATTGGTACATGATATTTTTATGCGAGATTTTGCGCGGGCAGTGTTAGGTTAATGGTGTTGAGGAGTGTAGGTAGACCTTTCAAAATGAGTCAAAGGGCTAAAAAAAATTTACTGTTGGTCGCAGGTAAGTAAATTCTTTTATTATTTAGTTTAAAAATTTTATGAATTTTTATACCGGATGTAGTTTCGTTCTAAGATCTACAAAAAGTAAAAAAAAAAGAAATATTATATTCTATAATTATTATTTATCTATTAAGAAAAAAATATTCGAACATTTGATTTCAATTGCAATTGCATTGTGGAAAAACTATGAAGTTTGTAGAAGTTTTTATTTTATAAATACCTTTTTACTTTATCTAATATCAATCGATCAGTAAACCTGTATGATTGAATTTCCCTATATGTTAACACATTTCTAAATTATTGAAACAAATTTAAAAATATATCATTCAAAAGTTATTCAAATACTGTTATAAGTTATACTTTTATCTGTTACAACAAGCTTCCTAAGATCATAAATAGTTGTCCAAACTAACTTTCTTTAACTTTTAAGATCAAAAAAACAAAAACCCAGAGAGTGAAGTACCAGATTTGGGCGACGCTGCATCAAATTCTGATAACGATGTACCAGATTTAAACGAAAAAACTTCAAACCTTGATAACGGCTCCTGCAATTTAAATATTATGACAAATTTAATTGCATACGTACCTCATCTAGCAAATGATGTACCAAATGCGGATATATCAAATTTGGGATATTCTGCATCAAATTTAAACATGTTAGAATTGACTGATGAAAGGGATACTTCAAATAAGTATGTATCAGAGCTAAATAACGGTGATTTAAATTTAGATTACACTTCAGATTTAAATAGCCATACACCTCATTTGGAACGTGTCGCACTAAATAACCAATCAAATTGGAATATTGCATCAAACCTAAATTTTGATTTAAGTAGCCATGCAACTCGTTTGGAAAGCGATGCACCAGACATATATGATTATGCGCAAAATTATCAAATTCTGTATACATTGAGTAAATGACCATTAAAGGGGCGAGAAGATTTTTACACTGTAAACTTACATAGCGCGCTAGAGAACATTACCCAACCAATCAATTCATTTGGTAAAATTTTAGCTGTGGATAGAACAGAAAACAGTGATAATGAAAATGACGATGGACAAGATTGTATTGAACAGGTTAGTAGGTAATTTATTAATCTTATAGAATAAGAATTCTGGTGAACTCGGGAAGATTCTTCCAAGTGATATCAATACTAAAAAACTTAAAACTCAAAGTGATAAAACACGAAAAGATAGAGACGAAGATGCTGCAGATGAAAACGTTGTGGTTCATACCCAAAATGGTGAAAATACATTCAATACATCAAACAGAAAGTCACCAGCAGGCAATGAAAAAAATGGACACAAATGCTTGCAAAAAGAAATAAACAGAACAAATTATAAAAAAGTAAAGGTAAAAAACATACTTTAACGTTATAAAGAGAAAATTTTAATAAAATTTAAAAAAAAGTAGGGTATTTCAGAGCCTAGTTTCATTTTTTATTTTAATTAGGTTTTATAATAAAATTTATTTATTAGGAATTTGATGTTTACTCTTTACCATGGTTGAACAAATATAAAAAAACAACATGCAAATTCTGTGATGCAAATATAGTATCAAAACACTTTGGGCGACACCTCGAGAGAATACATTCCACTGAACAGGAGGTAAAGGAGTTCCTAGAATTAGGTAAAAGAACCTCACAACGAAAATATTTCTGAAAATGAATATGCGATTTGCAAACATTGTAACGCTTTTTTAACAAAATCCTATTTAAGCCGGCATATCAGAAGATGTTTCGCAAATCCCAATCAAGACTCGAAAAAATTTACTCGACATTTGAGTGGATCAATTGCTTATGCTGCTTCCAAAAAAACGTATGGCAAATATTTAACCAAGATGTCAGTAACAAAGGAAATATTTAGCAAAATGATTTCAGACGATATAACAAACACAGCCATTAATGACATTCTGATAGCGCACTATGGTGAAGATCTCTTCAAAAAAAATAGGAGGCAGCGCAGTTTGTATCACGTTTCTAATAAATTGCGAGAATGTGCAAGATTTTTGTTAGAAATTAAAAAGCTCGGTGATTATACCTATATGCTTTCAACATTAAAACCAGAAAGCTTCGATGATATAGTTGAAGCAGTCAAAGCCATATCTCAATACGATGCAGATACTAAAACGTTTGGGGCTGCTTCTTTAGCGTTGCATTTTGGAACTACTATTAAAAATATAACCGCTCTTGCTATGAAACTACTGCTGCGGAAAAAAATTATAATCCCAACAAAAAGCAGTATTGAACAAGTTCTGAAGAATTTAGAACGTTTTAAAACTTTGGTTGAGTTGCAATGGACCATCGAAGTTGGAAGTCTGGCAACCAAAAATTTAAATGCATCCACCGCCTTAAAACCAAAACTATTGCCACTAACACAAAGCGTTATGATTTTGCGTAAGTTTGTAGAGGAAAAAGGTCATGAAGCAGTTGCAAAACTAGAGTTAATAAAAAACCGGGCAGACTACAAAATATTAGCTGAAACAGCGCTCATACAGACAATTCTTCATAATAGGATATATATAGGTGATATACAATACCTAGATCTAAATTCTTATAGAGAACAAATAGAAAACGAAGTTGATCTGTCAACTCAAAACGAAATGACAATCGCTCTCTCTGAAAATGAAAAATTGCTAACTAGACATTATAAACGCATTACTGCTATAGGAAAGGGAAGTTGGCCTGTAACTATTATGTTACCGAAAAAACATTGCAACAGTTTTATCAAACTATTTACAAGATCAGAACAAATACTCCTGAATGGTTTGATTCTCAAAATACATATTTTTTTACATTTCCAAATTCATCAAGATGGATAGATGGGTGTACTGCTATACGAAAATACGCAAAACTGAGTGGGGTACAAAACCCCCAACTACTAACGTCTTCTAGACTCAGAAAACACATCGCAACTGTCACACAAGTCCTTAATTTAAGAGGAAATGAAGTAGATCAATTAGCGAAATTTATGGGACACACCACCAAAACTCATAAACAATTTGATAAGTAAGTTTTCAATCGTACGTTTTTCAAGAACATTAGAGTTTTGTAAAAATAAAACCAATAATGTTATTTTCACGCTTCTACAAGATGTTTACCAAATTTCCAAAGTAACTAAAATTCTTCAACTAATGGAGCAAGGAAAATTGAAATTCCATGATAGATGCCCCAGACGCCAATTTAGACGCAGACAAGGAGAATGTACCCTCAACATCGGGCACACAAAGTTGCTTTAATGATGAAGGTATGAATGGTTTCAACGCAATATTTTGCCCCTTTCTCCGATAATAAAGAACATTGACCTCGAAAAAATTATCCTTGTAGTTATCAACTTTCGGATTTATCTGAGAACATTTTTTTAGAGGAAGTACAAAACTCCGACAATTCCGATAGCACCTATAAGGTGTCGGATACAGAAATTGACTCAGATGAGGAAATAGCTACTGCAAAAATTATTTCTATGAGAAGAAACTTTAAGAAGAATTCTGGTTTGTCAAAAACAATTTGTTAGATGATTTCAGCCTTAAAATATTTTTTTATGAAATAATTGTGTTGTTGGCGATAGTAAAATATCGGATTCAGATATGGAATTGGTGGAGGAAGTGGAGCAAAATAAGAAAGCTGGGTGTAAGTCTAGAAAAGGATCAAAGCTATTCTACTTACTTTATTAAAAAAATCTCTTTTTAGCACAAAGACAAAGATGGTCGGCACAACAAAAAAAAATTATGAAAAAACATTTTAGGAATGCTATTGACAATAAAAAAGCTCCGAGAAAGCAGGAATGCAAAATATTTATTAAAAAACATAATTCTTTCGAAGGTGTTAATTGGGTTCGTGTTAAAACATTCGTATTTAATACTTACAGCTATATTAAAAAATAGTGTTATTTAATAATAACTTTATTTTCATACTTATATGTTGTAATGAAATGCCTGTATTTAAGAGTTTTAAATACATGTTTCTAAAAAATAAGACCTAAATGGAGTGAATATTTACTTTCCCTTTTAGCTAAAACTAAGCCTGATTTAAAAAAGTTAACTGTAAATAATTTTTATTTCAATCGCTTTTGGCTTCAAAATATAACAATTAGGAAACCTAATAATTTATGTCGTCGCTATCCTCTTAAAAAGTGTGTAAAATAATCACGAAAATGAATTCATTCGTTTTCAAAGATACGCTCAGCGACAGAGCGCGAAATTGTGTAAGCTAATACAGAAATTAGCTTGAAATATGGTAATACTGTTGGGTGCTAGAGAAATGTAGTTTTACTACAAATATATATATATATATATATATATATATATATATATATATATATATATATATATATATATATATATATATATATATATATATATATATATATATATATATATATATATATATATATATATATATATATATATATATATATATATATATATATATATGATATATATGATGATTTCTAGCAAAAAATGAAGGGTAATTTTTGATATAAATGTTTATAAAAACACACTTTCTGCATTTTGGTTTACCCTTCTTCTTCTTTATGCATTGCTTTAGATTTAATTTTTTTATTTTGAAAAAATTGCTGAAAACAAATGTTTCTAAATAATACACAATATAAAAAATATCTGTTTTTTATGTTACTGCATAAGTTTTTCCTTAAATTTAGTTCAAAAGAATGATAGGGGTAGTCTAATTCGATCCCCTCCACTCATTTTAAAAAATAAAAAAATATATGAAGAAAATGTGTTTTTATAATAGTAATGCTTCGTAATATTTTGTTTTATGTATTTTCTTTTTAAGATAATATAAAAACATTATTTTTGCAGCTTTCTACCCAATATTTATAAAGCAAACTACCATTTATTTTAAACAAGGAACCACCTCCTTATGTTTTTCGCAGCAAAGTCCTGACTTAATAGAATTACCTGAAATTATCCATCCCTCCCTTGCCTTCATTTTGAAGTTGTTGGACTTTTTTAAAAATCAAACAGGCTTTTCGAACTGCTTCTTCATATTTTTCCTTATGACTTAAATACTCTAATGGAACTTTTGACTTCAATTCTGGATCCTCTAGGAAAAATTTTTCTGCAAAACAGAATAGATATTATTTTCCTCAAACATTCTACAATTATTTATAACTACTAACGTCTAGCCCATCTTTCTTCAGTCTTATTTTGGCCCCCATCCAGAAGATGTGTTAATTCTAATGTATTAAATGTGCAGGTTTTCCTTTCTTTAATTAAGTCGGGGTTTATTTGATCACTTGCACTCATTTTGATGGTTGGCACTCAACTACTATTACCAAAACCAGTGAACTTTTTAACAAACAATTTTCAATAATTTTTTTTATGTTCACAATTCAAAGATCAAGTGTTTGCTATTATCTCCCTCCTATCATTATGACGTTCCTTTGTCAAAGTTTGCGAAATTCGTTGTACTTTGTATCTAATTCATAAAAACATAAGTAGGTACTCTATTTAGTTGAAGTAAAAATAACTAATTCAACTTAAGCATTTTACAAAATGCCACGTAACATACTTTTGGACGATTTCTCCCTTGTGAAATCATAAGAAAACAATAAATTCTTCAACACACAAATTCATTTTGGAGGTTCTGTTCTTCTTCGAGGGTTGGTTAGTTTTCTCTGGATATTAGCCACTAACGTTTGGTGAATTTTCTTCTCTAATGTCAAAGCCAAACTTTGTTAAAGTCAGTTTAAATTTTTTGCAGTCTTTCTTCTTCTTCCTTCTGGCAGTTTTGTTTCGAAGCATTAATCTAAGTTCAAGAAACAACACCAACAAAACAAATATAGTCTATGTCAGTGAGTTAGAAAGACGTGTTTGAGTTTGGTTATTTCACAGGTTATATTGTTGGACTATTTATTTATTTTTTTAATAATTTTATCGTTTCTTGTTTGTATTTATATGGTAAGTAATTAGATTGTCCTGTTTGTATTCAATAAATATTTTTGAATTAAAATAAACATATAAATCACAAAAAAAATTCATTGTTTACATGATTCAAGCCACTCCCATGTACAGTTAAAAAGCTTGGGGAGCTTTGCTTTTGTTGCAGGTGTCTAGTGCCCCGCACCACTAGAGCTGCAAAGTACGGGAATCCTAAATCTTTTTTATAAACTCATCTTGACAATGATTAAGAATAATTTGTTTGAATACATTTTAACATTTTAACTCTGACAGCAGACTTTTATTTTCAGATGATCACAACAGGGAAGCAATTAGAACACACATAAATGATACTAATTAAATGAAGGGATTGAAAAACAATCACTGAGGATTATGTTGGTTCATTTGGAAATGATTCTCACCCTATTAATTTCATGTTTGTTGACTAATGGAGCGGACAGTCAAAACCCAGAATTTGATTTCAATAATTACGTTGGTAGCAATAATTATTATGAAGACTTAAAATGTCCCGAATATTGGATTCCCTTTCAACAACATTGTTTTAAATTTGTGAAATCTCCTTTGAGATCATATATTGAAGCAAGGAAACTTTGTCAGGTGAAGCTTTGTTTTTATTTTTTGGTAATTTTCATTGGGTATTTTCTTTTTATTGCAGACTTACTCTGTTGAAAGTGGTGGTTCAGATTTGGTCTCATTGAATAGCCTTGAAAAGCATGGATTTCTTATTCAACAACTAAATCGTTATGATCCACAACATCGGCGATGGTATATTGGAGCTCAGCAACAATCTCCAAATTACTACACTAATCCTGATGGTTCTCAGTTGCCCACAATGGAGGGTGCAATTTTAGATGATAAGCCGACATCAGCGATCTCTGAATATCTTGTTTATAAATTTTCTAAGGACTTATTGCACTGGGTATTGCAACCGGTTAATGGTGAAGAATACTTGCCATTCATATGTCAGGCATCTGTCACTGCAGTACAAAGACTCCATGTTAACAATCGCACATACACTTATGGGACGGACATAAAAGATCCTGAAAGAATACCTAGAGGTCCTTATTTTGTGAGGCAACCTATAGATGCCACATTTGACACTTCAAAAAGAAAGCTATATAACTATGTTAGCCTTAGTTGTTTAGCTGCAGGTTATCCGACACCTACTTATAAATGGTATCGAGAACATTATGAGAATGACACCTTGGTATCTCATGAAATTGAACCTCTGCGGGATTCACGCTATACTGTCAGTGGGGGCACCCTTATTATACATGATCCTCAACAAAGGCTGGACAGAGCAACTTATCATTGCAGAGCTTCAAATCGGTTTGGTACAGTAATCTCAGAAAGTGTGAACCTTAATTTTGGATTTATATTGGAATTTGTACTGAAGAGATCACCAGAAGTTGGAGAATTAAATTGGGGAAAATCAATTTATTGTGATCCCCCAAATCACTTTCCTTCTGTGAGATATTCCTGGTCACGTGATTTTTTTCCAAACTTTGTAGAAGAAGATAAACGTGTCTTTGTGTCCAATGATGGTGCTTTGTATTTCTCAGCTTTAGAAACAATTGACCGTGCAAATTATAGTTGCAGTGTCCAGTCAGAATTTTCTGATTCTGGAAGAAATGGTCCTTTCTTTCCTCTAAGGGTTAATCCTCATTGTAAGTAATCACCCATTTATTTACTCCGAGATATGTATGACTTGTTTGCTTCTCGGTTACAGCGAGCTATCAACAATTAAAATTTGCAAATAATTTTCCTAAAGCATTTCCTGAAGCTCCTATCGCTGGAAAAGATGTTAGATTAGAATGTATTGCTTTTGGATAGTAAGCATTTGTGTTTCATGTGAGCAAGCAGAATAATAATTGTTTGTCTTCTAGCCCTGTGCCTAGCTACAACTGGACAAGAAAAGATGGACAATTGCCACGAAATGCCTATCTAACAAGTTATAGTAGAGTTCTAATTATTCCAAATGTAAACATTGAAGATGAAGGAGAATATGTCTGCCGAGCTTACAATGACCGTATGAGCATTGAGAATGGAGTGATTCTCAATATCCAAGCCGAGCCTAATTTCACCATTCCACTAACTGACAAGTACATTGATAAAAAGAGCGAGTTGATATGGACATGCGAGGCATTTGGGATTCCAGACGTAAATTATACATGGTGGAAGGATGGCCGACAATTATGTACTAACAACTTATATCTTATCTATTTAGGAAAAAGTTTTACATCTGTGTTTTAGTGATGCGCGATTTGGACCCAACTCGCTTTAATATACGTGACAATGTTCTAACAATTAACTACTTAAATGACGAGACAGATCCCGGGATGTACCAGTGTCGCGCTACCAATACATTAAAAACGAAATATTCCTCAGCACAGCTGAGAGTTCTGGGTAAGTTTTTCCTCATATAAAAAAACACCTATTTTGTTTTAATTTGCATTGAATTTTGTCTATTCAACATTTTAGCCTTTTCGCCTTCCTTTAAGAAGAATCCCCTGGAATCTGAGACGTATGCTGCTGAAAATGGTAACATAACTATTAAATGCAATCCGGAGGCTGCTCCCAGACCCAGATTTGTGTGGAGAAAAGATGGCATCGAAATTGGTTCCGGAGGTCACAGGAGAATATATGAAAATGGAAATTTATTTATTGGGCCTGTGTCTCGGGATGATGATGGGATTTACACTTGCATTGCCAGCAATGAACTTGGAGTAGCGGAATCTCAGGGTCGTCTGATTGTACTCAGTAATTTAGCCACGGTAATTAATTTAAACCGCGCTGGGAGACACGGATTTTGTATTTTAGGGGGCCCTCGTATTGTTGAAAGTCCTTTACAAAGTGTGGTAACCGTAGTAGGGCACAATGTTGACTTGCAGTGTTATGCAGTGACTGATGAGATACTCGATATTGCCTATATTTGGACCCACAATCATATGAGGATTCGGGATACTGATATAAAGAATTCCAATGGACGATTGGTAAACTATCCACCTTATCCCACCCTTGTATACATTTTTTTTTCCAGAGAATTGACGGAGGTTATTTAAGAATTCCGAATATAACGTTCGCAGATTCTGGCGAATATGAATGTGTTATCCAATCTGCTGTTGGCGTAATCGCTTCCAAAAGTCACGTGACGGTCCAAGGACCACCAGGACCACCTGGAGGGTTGCAAGTGGTTAAAATCCAGAAAAATGCGTTTACCCTGCAATGGACAGACAGCGCTTCTCATGGATTGCCCATATATGGTTATTCAGTTTCGGGACGGACCAACTGGAACGCTTCCTGGATTAGTTTAGCGAAAAACGTGCGTGCAAGGGAAATAGATCGTTACACAGGCCGAAAGGAAGCAGATATGGAAGCCACTTTGACTCCGTGGGCTTTTTACGAATTTCGAGTAGCTGCTTGGAACGATTTAGGTTTGGGTCCGTATTCGGCACCGAGTCCCAAACATCAGACGCCTTTGGACAAACCCTATGCGGCTCCATCGAATGTGGGAGGAGGAGGTGGAAAGATTGGTGATTTAACTATCACCTGGACTCCTTTAAAGCCTGACCAACAGAACGCACCTGGAATACATTACAAAGTGTTTTGGAAACGACTGGACGATCAAGTGGAATTTCAAAGTGTCGTGCTTAAAGAATATGGAAACACGAATACCGCTGTTGTCCAAATTGAGCCTAAATTTTATTATACCCAGTTTATCGTCAAGGTTCAAGCAATCAACGATGCCGGTGCCGGTCCTATTAGCGAAGAAGCTATCGTGTTTTCGGCGGAAGATATGCCCCAAGTGGCACCACAGTTGGTAGTGGCTTTCTCTTACAATTCGACAGCGTTGAATGTTTCGTGGAACCCGATCGAACAAACCCGCGAAAAAGTCAGAGGCAAACTCATAGGACACAGGGTGAGTGCAAACGGTTAGGTAATGGCATTTATTTTTTTATAATTTCCCTGTAGATTAAATATTGGAAGAAAGACACTAACGAACAGGACAGCGTTTACTATCTTTCCAGGACTACTCGTTCTTGGGCTTTAATTGTTGGCCTTCAGCCCGATACGTATTATTTTGTTAAAGTAATGGCTTATAATGCGGCAGGTGAAGGGCCTGAAAGTGAAAGGTATTTAGAACGTACCTTCAGGAAAGCTCCACAGAAACCTCCTTCGTCTGTACGAGTATACGGCATGAATCCGTCTACCATAAGAGTAACATGGCGCTACGTGCAACCATTACTAGAGGAGGAGCCTTTACAGGGTTATAAGGTAAAATTCAAAAGTGGACATGAATCAGCTTTTTTTATTCTTTATTATGCGTATTTTTAATTTTCATTGATGTTGTTGCCTTATTAATAAATTGCAGAGGTTTCAGAACAAACACACACCATGCCAGACAAGATATACAAAGGTTTCATTTCTTAAAATCAATTAATTGACAAGATTTAACCAACAAAATAAACCGGCATAGATTAGTAAAAAAATAAGGCAATGATAAGCGATAACTATTCGTGAATCTGAAAAAAATGACAGAAATTGAATATTCATAGAACATTCCTTCTGATAAAGTTTGCATTGATATAGAGATGTATTTTTTCTATGCTATGATAAATACTGCATTCTATTTTAATGTCCACTTAATTAGTGATCTACTCTCAAGAATATCATTGCTGTAATATCACCAATCTAAAAACTTGGAGTTATATATTGCTTTTACATCTATAGATTCGAGTTTGGGAATTTGATCAAGATCTGAGCACAGCCAACGATACTATTATCCCATTTGGGGGAAACCTCGAAGGTTACGTCAGAAATCTTTCCCCTGGCAAAACGTACAGGATGAGAGTGTTGGCCTATTCAAATGGAGGTGACGGTCGTATGAGTTCCCCCGAACTAATATTCCAAATGGGTTTGTATTGTTTTAATCCTAAATATTTACTTTTCATAATGTTTGGTATTTCTCTTACAGGAAATCCCGAATATTTTAGAAGCACAGCTTCGTATTTGCATTCTCATGTAGTTGTACATTTTTTACTGTCCTTAATACTCATGGCAATACTATGTTAAAAGTGACTGCTATACATTTTGATGATATGGTGTGATGTGATAAATTTTTCGTTTAATGCACAATCGCGTGATTTACTTCTGTACAAACGATTCCGTCCACTTTATTATAAGTTGTCCAGTTTTGAAGCCTTAGATTTATCCATGCCAATGCCATATGTCTGTTGCAGCTATGGTCTTCGGCAAATTACCATAAATTAAGAACTGGATTTATTTTTTTTAACTGTTTATAATTAAATAGTATGTATTTTATATTGTTGAGAGATGATTTGTAACATTTTTATACGAGGTAATAAATAGGTATCCATTATAATTTGTTTTTATCAAAATTGACCACACCATTTCACTGAGAAGTATGATGACAAAAATCCATTTAAGGCAAGTAAAAAAATTCTTAATGAATTCGCCATAGTTGCGTAATTACAAATAAATATGAAAAAGAAATGGTTCTTTCGGGTCCCTCACTAACAGGAAAATAAAATGAATTAAAAAATTATTTAAAGAACAAATTAAACAGAAAAGGAAATATGGCTTACACTTAAGGGCATGCGCGTGGCTCTGAATTTCAACCACCAAACTGCACTTGACGTCATTTTCTGTCTTCTGTTACACTCATTTCGTTTTCCCACAACATTTAACGAGGTCTAGTCATATTTTGAAAGAAAATTGCCATAAGAATATTACATTTAAACTAAAATCTGTCAAATTGACGCAGTGTCAGCGGTCATGTTGGCTGTTAAACGCGGATAAGTCTTATTGGTTAAAAACGGAATTTCAAATGATCGCGCATGCGTATATTAAAAGACGCAGTTTGTGTATAATCAGCATGGGCAGGGCCTCTATGTATATCTAGTAGCAATATGTATGACTTACACCAATCACTTAGGAGTAGATAATTCAGTCTTGGTGTCAGCGAAAAGAAAAAAAAATCTGTTAACCTAATTCTAGTACTCACGCGTCGACAGCTCATGCAGTGACGTCACCTGCCCCACTTCGAACAAGGTCAATGTATTATTTGTAAAGCAACAGGTTAATATGGTTCTTAATACAATAAATTTCGATAAATTTGATTTCAAACTAATAGAGCAACATTACTATATAAATAATAGTCGATCTACCTACCTGGTTCCAATTCCAGACAAGTATTTAATGTAAAATTTTCTTTTTCTTTTCGAAAGGCTAACTGATTAGATTTATTTTTATGACATTAAGCTGTTTAGATAATTAACAAAAATTAACATGTCTATACTACGTGATAAAAGTGTTTCATAAAAACGCAAGGAAATATAAGCACCTAAAAAATATTGAAAAACAATACTTGGAAAGGAAAATTTCTGTTACAAACCAATGTACCGCTCACGAGAGGAAAATATAATTGATAACTATCCTAGCTGGTTAACCCAAGGAGAATGTAATTTAACCGTTCTTGAGTTTTGGTTAGCTAATGCGCATCAGCTGCTGTTAAAATTTTCGTATCTCCAAATTTTTGACATTCGAAACGTAACAACCATGCGCTTTTAAAAAGCAGTGTTCCTAGTCATTTTTCTTAATATTTGTTTTTAATTTTACATTGTTTATACAGTTGGTGTATAAGTCCATTTAAAAGGGTCGCTTTTAGAAGAGACATAATATATTTTGCCAATAAAACATGCCACCCTATTTCTTCTACTGCTCATAAAAATATGTAGGTAAAAAATATAATGAAAAAATCCTACTAATTTTGTAAAACTTGATTTAACATTTTGCGAAGTTTGCTCACATTCATAGTTTTTTCCATAGGTTGGGGGTTATGAAGCAATTAGTGTGGTGTGTTTTAAGCGCTGTTTTAGAAACTTAGAAGCAAATTGGTTAATAATCGACATAAAGTGGCTTTTTTGAGGCGAAGGGGTAATTCAACCCTCATGGTAGTAGTATACTCCACTTTTGACAGTTTTTGCCAAAATGAATCCAAAATACTCAAGAATATTAGCAACATTAGTGATAGTCATTATTTTGTACAAAGCATTCCAACATTATGTCTTCCCTAGAAAACCAATCATTGAACAAATCATAAGAAAGAACGAGTTTGGTGAAGATGTTGAAAAAGTTAAAGTTAGTGTATATTATGAAGCTCTCTGTCCCGACTCAAAATTTTTTATTACTGGCGAACTTCTCCCACTTTTTGATAAACTGAAAAGTAATATTGAGATTGATTTGGTACCATATGGAAAAGCTGAGGTAAGGACTATTATTTAGCAAGACAATTGTAGGACATTGAGAAGGGCATTGCAGACAACTATTGGAGCGGATGGTACAATCAACTTTCGTTGCCAACATGAATCTTTAGAATGTGTTGCTAATAAAATACACTCTTGTGTAATTGAACATGTTACTGATCAAGAACTGAGGTTGAGATACATTGCCTGCATGATCACAGATAACATGAAGCCTGAAGAAGCAGGAGAAAGGGTGAGATTAATGTAGAAAATACATAGAAAATATATGGTTTTCTATTCCAGTGTGGACGTGAATTAGACATTGATTTTAGTCATATAAGTAATTGTGCAGCTGACATTAAAGGATCTCAGCTTTTAAAGCATTATGGAGAGAGAACTCATGCTTTGAACCCTGGGGTTCGATTTATTCCAACTATTGAACTGAATGATAGCCAAAGCTTTGTTCCACAGAAAAACATTTTGAAAGATTTATTCAAGTCTGTTTGCCATGTGTTCAAGAGAAAACCAGAAATGTGTGAACAATAGTCTGATTTATATTTAAAATTCAATTTGACTCTTTTTTTATAATCATTTTGACCTTTTACCAACTTTACATAAAATAATTTTAGTCTCTCTAAATCTATGACAAATTTTAATTATTAATAGGAACTAAAGTGATTTAGCAAATTTTATGTATATGAAAGTGTTACATATGTAGAAATATATATCCAAATAACATGAGACGTTTTTATTTTTCAATCTTTTTTCCAAAAAAAAATCACATGTCAGTAGGGGGTGTACTTAAAAAAAATGATATTGACATTTTAATTGACTTTAAAGATATTTCGTTTTTAATGTGGTATATGGTACAACTGTTCAAATTTATAAAATACTTTGCGGTAATCTGACTTACACGTATTCCGATTAGATTAACATTTTATAAGATACAATTTATACAACAAAGACATGAATTTTAATTACATGCTCAATTGCTTATGAAACATCTTATTAGGGTTACATAAACATTGGCTCAAAAGTTTTGAGGATGTAATTAACATAATAGCGTCGAATTTTAAAAACATATATTTTTACTTCCAATTGAAAATATGTCACAATTAAACTATGCAAAATAAATAGTATTGCTCCCAAAGTATCACTGTTTAAATAATACATACATGCCACAATCTGCCAGTCATATTAAATAAGCATAATTTGTATGTACATAATAACAAATTAAAGCATTTCAACATTTCACAAATTTTTAATCCAAAACCTTCTGATCATTTATTTTCCTAAGTATTTCCTAGTAAGCAAGTGCAATAATTTGAATTAATATTTAATATTTCTTCAATTAACATCCCATCACACATTTCAGTGTAAAAATAAAATGATGTCTACATATCTCCTATAATTCAAGCACAAATATTTTCAATGGTAATCTACCATGCTATAATCTCACCTAAAAATGCTATGGACGCAAGATATTTCTTGAAACTATAAAAGCACTTTCCTTAGATTTGTTTGTAATTTCACCGTATAACGAAATGTTTCATCGAATTAGTAATAACCAAATTTTAATCCGACATGAGCCCAGCAAATATTTGTGCAAAAAATTTCCTGGTAAATGTCTGTTATAAATATTTTATTGCTTTAATTTAACATAAATATTTGCCTCATCATAAATTATTCGGTAGACTATTTTAGTTAATGTTTATATTGGAAATTTTTGGCACAAATCTCTATAATACTGGCATTAATATTTCTGTTGTTAAATGGCCCAAACATTCTTATATCTATTCAGTCTTTATATGTGAAGATATTGAGGAAATTAACTCAAAATGGTATAAGAATAAAAATAAAATCATCAAACACTTAAACAAATGTCAAACTTTAGTAAAATGGTATATAATGATCTGAGATTTTTTAACCTCCAGACAAACAAATCATCAACTCTGAAAATATATTTACTAACAAGCAGATTTTTACTTATGATTTGTATTCATTTTAGGATTTAAATGCGGCAACAATATTTTACAATATAAAACAATAAATGTTAATACAATACCAACTATTTACAAATTGTATTACTAGGAGGCGATAACCAAGAACACTGGTCCGAGAGGCACAACCATTGTCATCAATGGTAATAATGGCTTTGTCTCACCATCTTCTTAGGTTCGCAATTGGAATGTTGAAATTAACAGTTCTTAACCTTGTTTTAATAATCACTTTAGAACTACATCAAATTGCATGTACTAAATTGAGTATCTGCCCAGCAAGAGTGCTATAACTTGTGATTACTAGTCAACCAGGTTAGACCCTCATATAATCCATCCCCTGTTGTTGCACAAGCTGGCTGAACATACCAATTGCGGTCCCGAATACGGGTCAATCCTAACTTTTCTTGAATCTCATGGGGTTTCATAGCTTCAGGTAAGTCTTGTTTATTAGCAAAAATGAGTATTATTGCGTCCCGCATTTCACGGTCATTGATAATTCTATGAAGCTCTTGACGCGCCTCGTCGATTCGATCACGATCTGCACAATCGACCACAAAAATTAAGCCTTGTGTGCCAGTGTAATAATGACGCCACAAAGGGCGGATTTTATCTTGACCACCAACATCCCACACATTAAACTTCACATTTTTGTAGGTCACCGTCTCCACATTAAATCCCACTGTTGGGATAGTTGTAACTGACTGGCCTAATTTTAATTTGTACAATATAGTGGTTTTTCCTGCAGCATCTAATCCCAGCATCAAAATTCTCATCTCCTTATTGCCAAAAATTTTTGATAGTAACTTCCCCATCCTTCAGGAGCCCGTTTTCTACCAACAGGATCTAAAAATAAAAATAAAACACTTATCTTTCTTCGTTAAGCACATCCTCGTCTCCAAATGGAAAATTAATTTGACATTGAAAGCCAGAAAAACAAAGTTTTTCCTGACATCACAAAAATAGGCGTGTAAGTATGGTGGCTCATCCAACGGAGATTAATTTAAAACGACTTTAATTTTAAGTGCATTTAATACATTAAAATATCTAATAATTACCTACCACTAATCATTGACGATATTTACAGAATTGGATTTTTCCTAACATTTTTTTCTTCATATTTCTGCCAAAACATGCTCCATATTGTCATTCACCGACGATGACTACGAAACTACGCTCTGCAGCGTTGCCAAACCCAATTTTATATTTGTACAAAGAACTAATTCAAGAAAACAAAACATGGAGATCAGCAAGCAGTTAAAGTGTTATAGTTATTCTATCTGTCCTTATTGCTTTCATATTTTTTCTGATGTTAAATGCGGCAGAATACTATTTATATTTTATTATGTCCCGCAACCCAACGAACTCTATTTAAACAAATCTCGGATCAAATATAAAACGTGGCATCAGCACAAGAATTCAAGAATTGTGTGTTCAGTTAACTTGGGGTGTGTGTGGAATTTTAAGTTGGAAGTAATTGGTCTTCTCCCAACCGAAACTTTAATTTTTCTGCAATATAAAAAGAGTGATTGGTGCTATACCTATTATTTCGATTAATACAGTTTTTTTTATGACTGTTTTATAGCTGCAAATATCATTTGCCCTCTGAGATTTCCTATACGTTTCCAACACGCACAAATGTAATGGTTTTAAAGGTTGACTCTAATAATTATTACATAGTACCTAATAATAATAATTATAATATTTATTAACTTAAAAACCTAGAGAGAAAAAGAGGGTGTTCAGATGATAAGAAAATATATTTTTTAACTCATCCTAGAAAAAATGAGGCAAGAGGTAGTGAAAAAAAAAGGATCGAAGCCCAATAATATAGTAGGGACCTATTTAATGATTAATTCTTTAATTAAAAATTTAACAGTTGAATAGGGGCAATTGGGTCGAAAATATTTTAAACGGTATAGAAATGGATTTAGATTTAACGCAATGTAAGTTTTAATATAAAATCGCAAAGCACATAGATTATAAGTTTTCTTAAGTTAACAAATGATTATTGAAGCCGGACAATGAAAGCAGTTTTTAATCGTAAAATTTGAGGGCGTAACTAAAGATTACATTAAAATCGAAAATTTCAAATCTAACACAACATACCAAAATGAAAATTAGATCTTATTTAATGTATTATATTTATGTAATGTATTATATATTTTTAATTAAAAAAAAACTGATGATAAAATTAACAACTTTTTACTACAGATTCTCAATTAGGTGGTTTGGATGGTTATGTATTTGCTTTATTGCAAAATAAAGACATTACATTATTATAAAATTATTTAATAGCAATTTAATTTTTTTAAAAACAACAATAGTTTGGAAGCAATGAATTATGTGTGTATAAGTGGAAACATATTGACCTTGAACATTTAAATAAAGCAGAATATTATATTATGCACATTTTTAATTTAATTTTAAATATTTACACATACTTACCACAAACACTGCACTGATTGCAATTTTTTATTATGAGAATACCTTGGAGAATTGTATATTTATAAATACATCGTCTAAAACAGCAAGTAAATACACACCGGTTTAATAAATTTTTTTTTTTTTTAATGGTATAGAAATAGGATCCAATTGAATTCTAATTTGAGTCACCGTGTATATTTACTGTAGCCGAAAGTCAAATTTGAAACAACCTGTCTTGCTAAACATAAGTCCATTTTTTTTAGTCTTTACTTTATATCTCTACATTTTTAAAGATATTTACTTTTTTACATTTTTGTTTCCATGGAAAATCACATCCAGTGCTCCATATCAGTATAGAATTAAACATAACGAACTGCGGCAAATATTGATTTCTAAACCAAATCAGCCTAAGTTGTGGACATTTCTGTAGTACAGTTCTGTAGTGCTAGTGTTTGTCAGAGCATTTTTGTAATAAAAAACGTTTTATTGTTAGTACTTAGAAATCTATAACTTTTTCAAATAGGAAACCTTACACAAAGTCACACTCACTCACAATGCGAAATAGGATACAATTAGAAAAATTAGGTAGGTATTTCTATTTAAAAAAAAAGACTTTTTACGATTTGCCATGTATATTTTTAATATTATATTTTGATTTATTTATAAAATATCAACACAAACCACTAAATTAGATCCCTTTCTATAAGGAAATCAATCCCAAATATATAACAAAGGTTTTCAATCCATAAATATATGTATACCTGCAAAATATCATAAAATTCAAAATATACGACACTAAAATTATGGGTTTTTATATATCAAATATATCTAGAAAGTCCCGAAGAATTTGAATATGCCTGAATATACAGGGTGTTCCATTTACAATAAGAAAGTTGTTACGTTTTCACAAAGATCCAAACCACTCGTGTTTGATTGTTTTTTGACATATTTTACAGATTCTGAGAAAAGGTATCATCCCATAATAAAAAGATCACTCTGTACATACACTATTTATAGCTATAAGCTGCAGTCCAAAAAAATAAAAAAGGAAAGGAAAGAGGGAGTAAAAAAGAATAAAGCAAAAACTAAACATAAGTGCTACTTGATAAATTGGTTAAGGCTTTCGTGGCCCGTTGATAAGCTATTATCTTGATTCGGGTATAAAGGCCGTCGTCGGTTGGAATTACTTCCTAACGTTTCGCTAGCACGAGTGGCGAGCTTCTTCAGAGGTCGTTCCATCTCCGATGTTGGACGTAGACCAACCGACGACGGCCTTTAAACCCGAATCAAGATAAGTGCTACTTCTTAAAAAATCTGGCGTAGGATCGAATGGCGTAGTTAGTTTTGGTTAGTTTCTTCAAAAATGGGACGCGGTGTATATGTCTAACTATTTTATATCAATGAGTTTGCGAAACAACAATAATAAAAATAATCTCAGAAACGAAAGCAATATTATTAGTAATATGACTTTGTAATTCACAAGTTAGATTATCCAAAATAGTTTTGAGCAATGGATATCTGCAAATAGGTGTATGTATGTGTATACCAGTATTTCAGCAATTGTATTGATATATCGAAGAAACAAAGAAGCTAATTACTATATGAAATGCGCAATCTTTCAATCTAATAATCAACAAAGTTCTAAACAAAAAATAATCCGTAATAATTATGACCACCCAAGGTCAGTATAATTTGTTTTTAATTATTTCAATTATTTTAATACCCTTGTGACCGAACTGCACTTTTGCGAAAAAAGATGCTTAACGTAAATAAATATATTAACTTTTTTTGCGATTTTATAAAAATTAATACTATTAGTTAGTACTTCCAAAAACATGATCGAGTGTGTATACAGGGCGATTCACGTTCAAGTGTCTTGTTGAAAGTTCTGGAGAGGTAAGAAAAGGAACAAAATCTATATATCTATATAGCTTCGAAATATTCTATTCAATGCAGTCTTTATTGAGACAATGTTAATTTTAAATGCATGAATGTGAAACATGGGTTATAATGGCGATGTGTTTACTTGCTGTAATTTAATAATGCTGAAGAGTTCTTTTTAAATGTCCACCATTTTATTACACCGCCAAATAAACCAATAATTTACCAACAATATTTTCATATATCTATCTTTCTCTCTAGCTTTTTAAATTCACTTGCATTAAAACTATTTCCTCATTTTCATTAAAAAATTGTGTTATAAAATGTAGTTCGTCTAATTTAAAATTCAAATACTGCAACGGATCTCGAGTATTTCTAAAATAACAACTTAAAAATAAGAGTTCCCTCTGTTAGGCTTCCACAAATTCTGAAAGAATCATATATTATATACTCCTGAAGCTAAAAAATTGACGATACAACTAATTTTAAAATAATTGCCAATTTTTGCTCTATTTTACAATGTGTCAAGATTTATGATCGATTGTCATCATTTTTTAAAATATTTATTGTACATTTAGCCTGAATTGACCTATTGCCCTCACTATTAGAAGAGAAATAAAATTGCTGAACACTTGGTTTATTGCATAAATGGGATTTAGGTCTTTACAAAAAAAAATGTCTCGACATTTAGACTGTTAAGTTTTTCATAGCGAAAATTTCCATTGTTATACCAAAAATTTAATCTAATTTAACACACACACACACACATTACTGTACTTTTTAATTACCTATTAGGGGTTCCTATCGCCAAGCTGTGATGATGTTTTGCGCTATTCGGTGTTTTCTCAAATAATAGTATATTATGCAACAAATTTGAGAAATGCCACTTTAGTCACGAGCTGCATTTGGTACGAGCGTAGTGGCTGTTTCAAACATTTATGTATGTATGCAGTTCATACTATACAATGTATAGTATGCAAGACGTTGATAAACCTTTTCAGACACTCGTTTAGTAAATACCTGCTCTGCTGCGTTCGTATCCAAACACACTCGTGACTAAAGAGTCGTTTGGAAAACTTTTTGCATACCTAATATATTTTTTATTGCATTGGTTTGCCTATGTTATTTATAAAATCCGGTAAAAGTCTCTTAAACATTAGAACAAGCTTCAACTGACAGGAGTAATTGTGCGACATTTTCCCAGAATTCAAATGATTTCAAAATTAATGTTTTGACCGGAGAATTGTAGAAATGCTAGAATATACAGGAAATTCCATTAAAGGAGAGATAATTTTAGCACTTTTGGGACGACCTATATAATATTAAAGTAATTTTAAAAAGCAATTGTAATAGGCGCCCACATATCCCGAAAATAATATTTTTTGAAAGCCGCATTTTTAGGCACAATTTTCGGCTATAACGTGGATGACCCTGTATTTATATTTTTAGTATAGCTGAGATGGCTGCTGCGGTTTGAATGAAACAAAAACCACAACGATTTAATTTTTGAAGCGAAGAGGAATAATTGTAAGGTCAGGGCCATACAAATCAACAACAAAAATAAATTCGCACCAGAGAAACAATTTTTTTCCACAGTTTTTAGAATAAATAAATACGAATGTACAGATAAGATATGGTTTCATAGAATTGATTATAACGTCCTTTGAGCAATCGAAGGTAGAGTGAGGAAGATTCGGTCAATTTTTAATTTCACATGTTGACTAGTTTGGTTTACTTCAGTTTACGTGTAGTACTGAAGTGGTTCGCTGAGAGGCAAACGCATATTGGTAGTGACTTTTACTTTTAAATTTACGCAACTGCTGCAACATGGAAAATAAACACAATGTTAAGTCGGGGTAAGCGTGTATAAATATGTATCAAGTATTTATTAATTTATTTTAAATTCCTGACAAATGCTGTTCGTCTTGCACCACGGTTTGCAACACCCATGTAAATTATTAACAAGCTATGATCGATTTTTTTTTCTACATTTTTTTCCGCTACGGCAAACGCGAATTTTTATGCGCGTATTATATATTTGTCGTTTGCTATTGTGGTTTCTACATATTTCCAAAAGGCTTTAATGCGTATTAAGAAATAACAAACAGCTCTGCAATGCTTATAAAACGAGTTTTGCAAGTTTATGCCATTTAAATAAACGCTAATCTGATTACAAATCGCCTCATTGTTTCAGGCAAGTGAAAAACAAAACCATACAGCAACAGATTTTGGAGTATTATATTATATTATATTATATATATTATATTTGAATTCATCGTTCTACAATTTCAAATATTTTATTACATCCTTGAATCTATTTTTCGGCTCTTTGTACCTGTCGAACCTGAATCGGTCAAAGGGGAAATAGTATTGGTAAGCATTTGTTTGCATTTTTTCATACGAAAATAATTAAATCGGTCTGCAATAAATAAGGTTAATTATGAAACGATTTCTAATTTAAATTAAAGCGTAATAAAATCAAACTCATTTGATAAGCGCGTTAGTTTCTACCAAAGTTTCCAGACTAATATAATATATTCTGTAAATTTTGGTTAGTTAAATTCACATGTAATAAGATCACATTCATTCCAGCTTTCAGGGATATTTAAATATACAAAATACAATTTCTAGCCACTCTAGTTACATGTTTTTCGATCGATGACCTAATATTAATAATGAATTGGTTTCTAAACCCCCTTGGCAACACTGTCATCAAGTAATATTAGCGTTAATAACGTATTATTAAAAGTTTTGGTCGGTCAAATATTTCCAATTTTATTTAAGGAAATGTTGTATATGGTCTAAAATACAATCATCAATTAGTAGTAGTGAAATTATGAAATGATTTAAAAAATAAACCAGATGTCCTTCTTAACAAATCGTATTATAGAAAAATGTGCAAGTTATAATTTCTAACTAAAAAATATGATAAATGTTTGAGTGTTATATATTGTTATAAACTTTGTACAAAACTGCAAAAATTTTATACTTATCTAATGGTTTTAGACCTTTTATGAAGAACATACTGCTAATTCACGTATTATGTACAAAATAAATTTCAAAATACGTTTTTTTTCTAAATATACAAAAAATCAAGTACTAGATATTAATTAGAGATAATTAAAAGTTAACACAGATGTTTCATTAATAGAAAATGTAATTAGTCTTTTTGACATTGGTAATAGGTAAGTCCGTGAATATTTAGTTCTGTTTTAGTTTATTAAGTTCCATTAGTTCTTCACATATAACGCGATTCAAATACAACTCACTTCCAGTGGATATTCTTTCACATTCAAAAAGGAATTAAAACAGTTGGTGAAATTAAAGAAGTGATAAACCCTTGTTTTCTTATTCTTTTCTTTATCGTTTTTGCATTTTTTTTTCTTTTATAGTAATATAAAAATGTTTATATTCATTTCCCTTTGAGCGTTTTTAAAATTAAACTTCGCACGTTGATTTAAAAGGTTGCTATTTATATCTGTTATAAGTATAAACACACATCTGGCCATTCGAGCACAAGTGAATTTCCTACATTTCTTAATATTTTTTGTTTATTTGCGTGCCTGCAATTAACAGTAACCTTGAAAAATGATACATAAAAATAAACCTATGAATGCACAGCATGGAACGTAGTTAATCCCTAACATTTATGACTAGAATGGTTTTAGATCACGGGAACTGGCCATGGAATTGGTCAACAATTAGCTTATCAATATGCAGCCGCGGGAGCCAAGGTGGTATGCTGGGATATTAATGAAAAGAACAATCAAGCAACAGCCGAAGAGATAGTTAAAAGGGGCTATGCTAGACCCCACTGCTATGTGTACGTAAATCTCACGACATTACTTAATTAATTACTAAGAGCGAATTGATTTTAGGTGCGATGTTTCCAATAGACAGGAAGTACTTAAAGTGGGTGAAGAAGTTAAAAAGGAAGTGGGTAATGTAAACATTCTTATAAACAATGCAGGTATTATGCCCACTCATCCTCTGGAACAACACACGGAAGAAGAAATTCGACGAATAATGGATATAAACGTATTGGCTCATTTTTGGGTAGGTGCTAGAAATCCACTAGCACGTTTCAAACTAAAGAGACGTGGCTTTTAGACCTTAGAGGCTTTTTTGCCAGCAATGAAGCAAGCTAATCGGGGTCATATTGTTTGCTTATCGTCGATTGCTGGGGTCGTAGGTATTCCAAATTTGGTACCATATTCGGCATCGAAGTTTGCAGTTCGAGGTTTAATGGAAACTTTGGCTGAAGAATTGAGATGGAATCCAACTAACCAAATAAAAACGACCACCGTTTGCCCATTTATGGTAGACACTGGGTTGTGCAAGAGGCCCTTCGTAAAATTCGAGCAGGCATTAAATCTTCTAAGTCCCGAACATGTAGCTCAGAAGATAGCGCAAGCTCAAAGGACTGGAAAAACAGAAATAACTATTCCCGAAATTCTTCTACCAGTTGGTATTCTCACCAGGTAATTATTTTTTATTAATAATTATCGCTCGGCCAATTGCCGGTATACAGGGTAGGTCATAAAATATAAAAAATGGAGTAAAGTTTTATTAAAAAAGTTTAGAAGTTATATACAAATAATTTTTGGATTTTCTTTACCAAACTTATAAGTAAAACTTCGAATTTATTTAAAAAATTAAATTTATTTAAACTCATTTATCATACACAATAAATAAATATAAATCTGAGCAGACTATTGACGCATTTTGCGGACACTGTAGAAACTACGAGAAACACAATGGGAAAAAAAAATATGTTTTAATATGTAAAACGAATTTTGTTAAAGAAAAGTAATATTGGGTATAATAAACCAAGAGTAGAAGAATATAATTTTAATATTTAAGCTGTGTACTGTTATGAATAAATATATATGGTTTTGCAGATTGTTGCCGGAAAAAGCCCAAATCAAAGTAAAAGAGTTTTTCAACAGTGGTGTAAATTCTGATTTAGAATAGACCTTCCGAATTTTGTTTTGTTAAATTTCAATGCTGTTCTAATAGCCTATTAAAGAACTCTGAGTTTGAACTTAGCGTTTTAATGGTTAGTAAAGATAAAAATATATCTATAATTATATTTATTCCGATTAAACGAACCGTTTCCGAGATAACATATTTCATCGATAGTCAAATCGCTGCTGCGCATAAGAAATGGACTTTATCCTGGATACTTGACAAAATATACGTCAGGCCTACAGATTGACAGTCATTAATCGGAAAAAAGATCTTTTAAATCTGCATTATCTGAAGTGATTGTTGTGTCTAGGCATGAAGAATATTTACATAATGAAATGGGGAATATAATTTGCATTCATGCAAATTTCTTGAAAAGCGAAGTAAATGTTGTAATGTTATAATTCGCTCTACCATAATTTTTGAATAGAAAATAATTAAACTTTACTAAAGACAGTTTCTAACTGGTTGCGAATATTAAAACACAATATTCGCTTCAATGCTACAATACTACAACATACTACAACTGTCCTTCAAATCATGTAAATTGGGCATTACTCCAAGTAAGGAACATATATAAATATAGAATTTTGGTGGAGCTTAGACAAAGGGACAGTATTCTTTTAATCAGTAAAAAACTTCTTGATATGAATTTGACCTGACTATGTAGATAATGTAAAGTTAAGAAGTGCAAACAAAAACCTCAATAAATTCATAAAACGAGAATTCCCCAGCAATTAATAATGCTACAATAAATCACAAAGTGTACAAAAAGTAAAATAACATTTAATAATTTGGACGGGTTAGAAAAATGATATAAATAAGAAAATGCAATCGGAATGTAGCGGTGAAATTTAGTATGATCTCGTTTATAGGAGCCATGCTTGCGTTGCTCCTTGAACCTCGATAAAGGACCCACATACTACAACTAAAGCGCCATCTACGAGTTGTTATACGCACCTCGATTAACGTCTTGCAGTGCCATCTGTGTTACATTGGGATCCTCGACACACGCCCTGTTTATGTTTATAACTCCGCTTGAAACCTCGATTATGAAATTTAAAGCAAAATGAATGCCACCGTCAACTTTTAAAAAACATAATCTTCAGGTTCATATTTATAGAAAAAAACTTTACGCTTCTTCTTTCTTCGACACATGCAAATATAGAACATTGGTGTTATCGGATTCTAATCAAGACCAACCTACCTGTTCTTTGGACCTTGTCTTCAATTCTATGCAGCAAAAAGCTTCTGAAATCCCTATGGAAATCCTTAAGTAAATTAATATTTAAGGTAACTCTAAAATTTATGCCTAAAACATTGAAGCACGAAAATAGTTGTTCAAATGTCATATTAAGGAGAAAAACATTTTTTTTAGTTCCATGGTTTTTTTAAAAGCGCCACCATATGGAATGGTCAACTATATTTTTGATTCCAGTTTGCGTATTTGACATTCACGCCCATGTACGGAAAATAAGAAAAAAACTTTGCCAAGTTTAATTTAGGATTGCTTCTTGGTCCTATCATTAGGAGGAGCCATTTCTACAGTTTTTGAGTTTTTTTGTATTGTGTATCTGGAAGAATTAGGTACATAACCTCATAGTGATCTATTTAGTAGTATAAACACATTTCGACAGTTTTGTTAATCTGTGATGCATTACTAAAAAGAAATAATGCCTTACCAAAATTTAATTACGTACCTTATTTTTTACGTTTTTTGTCAACTTTTTCACAGAAAGCCAAGTATTTTAGCGCTATTGATTTGCCTATCCCGAAATAACTTACACACCCCCCCTTAAAGAAAAGCAATTGATTACTCAGCAGCAAAAGGTTCTAAAGCTATTGAAAAACAAAAATGTTTTCTATAAAGTTTATTGCAAAAGATAATTTACAACAAAAAAAAATTAATCGAAGAGTTTATCGTGTTGTAATTACCATATAATTAAAATATTTAGCGAAAGGAACAGCCTAAGAGAGACGAAAATGTGTTAGCTTAAGAGCGATAGGTTTTAATTGGGCCTATTCCACAGAGGAATCATTATTTTGTACACTTGTACAATCCAGTTAAATATATAATCGATTTCATAAATAAACAAATAATTTACAAAACGTTTATTCCAATTTATTTACCGATTTCCACTTTACAGACAATTACTAGCTTCTTCTTAGTAACTTGCCATGTTTTATGAAACAAACTGAGTATCGACTACTAGTAATTCTTTGTAAATTAAATATAGACAAAAATTACAAACAATACATATTTTTAACAATATAGTACAATTAATTTGCAAAATATATAATATATATATATATATAACAATTTCAAATAACTTGGTAACAAAGTCGATAAGAGTTTTCAAAATTACATCCACAATAAAGTCATTTGAAATTGAAGGAAAAATACATCTTGGTTTCAATATTACTTAAAAAAAAAGATCTAATGTTTGCTATTTTACAACTGGAAATAAAAAGTCGAATGACATGGCAAAGTGATGGGATGTTGGTGGGCTTGGTAAATGAAGTTTTCTTTACCTGTTTGGCTACTCACCTGCTCCTACCACAGACATTGTGCTGCCTGGGAGAGCGGGAGTAGGGGAAGATGAAACCGTTGACATTATTCTACATTGCTCCTTTACCACGGGATCTAGAACAAACGCAGAAAAAAATAAACGTTAAAATTTCCCAATGGGTCAAATTTAATATTGTGAAAACCAATACTTACAACACTCAAAAGTTCAATGTGAAATACATGCAACTGCAGGTTTACTTGGCACAAACTGTACAACATACACTGTTTAATTCATTTTATGCTAACCTAGGATACCGGAATACCATAGCTTGCATGCACCCTAAATAGATAAGGAATACAAAAAGTGTCTTTTTTATTTCCATCCCAGAGGTTTCATACATCCTGCGTTATATACCAAGTTTTACTTTTATTTATACATGGCCTGGCGGATTTTTTTTTTTTTTTTTGAGACCTATTCGACCTGATAAAATATTATTTAAAAATAACTGTTTCAAATTCTTTAAAAGATTTTCAATTTATCGCAAATACCTTGAATCTCCTATGTAAATTCCATTCCAAATTTTAGTTGATTTTTTAATGAAAATAATTTGATCCATCTCTCCAAGAATACATATACTGATTGCGGATTGGTCCTGGTATAGGTATATCAAGAACTGCTGATCATACAAAAATTACTTCTTGGGAACTTTAATTCAACCACCTTTTAATTGCGGATTCACTCCAAAAATTATGAAAATCCCTAGTTGCCTGCCCCCTGGTGTTACACAGTAAAATTAACAAAAATAATGCAATAAAGGTTTAAACATGCGCACGTTAGATGACGCTATTCAAAAATGAGTTTAAAATATACTTACATATGTTCATAGCATTGAACAATTGGGCATGAAGGCATTTTTTTTCTTAACTTCCCTTTAGATAATAATAAACGTTTTGCGATTTTTTTTTAAAGTGGCAAAAGATATAGGACCCCAACATCAATAATTTTTAAAATGGTTTCTCCATATGAAACAGCCCCGGAAAAACAATGAATGACTTATGACATAAGATTACATGTTTTTTTATTAAAACTCCAACACCTGGTCCACAAGTAATCCAAAAAAATTGCAGAAAATAGCAAACACTAACACCATGATGAAGAAATATTCCATTAAGTTAACTCTATAATATAAAAGTTTCTTTACCTACTGCTGTCACCAATAATTCAGATGGGTTTGGAGCTTAAAATTTTTGCTGTTCTCACAAACTAAACTGATTGATTGGATGAAATTGATACCACTACACTACTACACCACCATAAACCACAGAAAAAAGTGCAATAAGCAAGCATAAATCTACAATTGTTTCCATTACCACCATTACCAGTGATAAATCTCATAAGCAAATTGCAACAACCATTCCAAGGTAACAATAACTTGAAGTGATAAATGAAGGATGAAAAAATATACCATCAACCAAGTCCCGAGGTCAATATGCTGCTAAAAATTTGCTAGCCACTGTTAAGTGTTAGACAAAGGAATAAATGATATTGTTGATAACGTGGACAAGGACGCAAGGGTATAAGGAATGTGAGTTATTAGGTTATTATTGGACATAAAATAAATATTTTACTTGAATTAAAATAAAATATTTATATTCCAACTTAATTAAACCAAAAAGGTATTATACAATAGGAATGTTCAGTAGAATTAAAAAAACATGTCCCAAAAAAATCTTCAACAAATATACCTTATTTTTACAGAAAAAAGTAAAACAAAAAGCAACACTTAAAAAATAAACAAAAAGAATGTCCAATAAAACACTGAAGCAAGTCTCATGAAATAAAGTCACTGTTGCCACTATTTGTAAAATAACTTACAGAAATAGGCGTGTTCCATTGCTTCCCTTGCAGTTAATCGCTCTAAATGATCATAACGTAATAATTTGTCCAAAAAGTCTAACGCCTCGGGTGAGACTAAATGTTGGTTTTCACTATGTACGAATCGCTCCCACCGTTTCCGAGAATGTCTAAATAGGAAAAAAAAATTTTTACCATTAAACCTTGCTCGGATATGAAACATTTACCTTCCTAAAATATCATTAAATCGTGGATCTAGGTCTATATGGTATCTATCAAGATATTCAAAAAGCTCCTCGGTACCTAAAACTTTGGCTATGCGCACTAATTGGTCATAGTTATCATGGCCATGGAAAAATGGCTCCTTTCGGAAAATCATTGATGCCAACATACATCCCAAAGACCACATATCCAAAGAATAATCATACATTTGGTAATCTACAAGCAGTTCGGGTCCTTTAAAATATCGGGACGCCACTCTAACATTGTACTCTTGGCCTGGGTGGTAGAATTCAGCTAACCCCCAATCAATTAAGCGTAGTTTTCTATTTTCATGGTCAATCATGACATTATGAGGTTTTACATCTCTATGCATTATGCCCATACTGTGACAATAATCCAATGCTTTGAGCAGTTCATATAAATAATACCGAATATCAAAATCAGTTAGTGTTTGGTAAAGTTGCTTAAAATCAATATTATTAACATGCTCAAAAATTAGTGCTGGTGTTCTCGAGACAGGATCTTTAACAACAGCTTCTAATGTTATTATGTTTGTACCACCTCTAAGATTTTCTAGAATTTTAATTTCCCTTTTGATTTTCTTCTTTTTTACAGGCTAAAAAAATAGTGGTGCTAACACACAGAACAATTTTATCAATTGACTTAAAATGTTTCTCACTAAACATTTTCTACGTATTTTTAAAAATAATTATAGACACTCTGCTATGGCAATATGGTGTATTCACAAAAAAAGCATTATTTACTTTTTAGGATAGCCTAAGACTTTAAAAGATTTACTCATAGCTCGACCTAGCAGAGTTTTATCTCTAGTAGTTCCTTAGCTACATCCTCTGCAAAACAGTATATTATTGTTATACACTTGGCTTTACTTGCCTATTTACTTTTTTAAAAAATTTTGGTTGATGTTTAAGAGATTTTTTTAACTAAAGAGTATTCAACAATAAATTGTTTATTATTATTGTATTAACCTTACTCTTGTTTTAATTACTTTCTCCAAATAAATATTCACAATGGCAAAACAATCTATTTATTGTACTTTAAAAATGTAGTGCAATAACATAAATTTTAATTGGAAGAATAATAACTGAAAATTTGAAAAAAAAAAGTTTAAGGTCAATTTTCTCAGAACTCGTTTTTTGCGAATACATAATTTTGCCCTAGCAGGGACATAGGTGGATAAGAGATAAAATGCTAAATTATTTGCCTATACAAAAGTGATGAAAAAATATTCAAAAGCCACATGGCAGTCGCCAGTTGATTCAATAAAACTCTATCATTGGGTATAACAAAATATTAATTTTGAAAGTCCACATCCTAGCCAACAAATGGGTAATAAATTAAATTATAAGTAGGATATTTAGTTTATAAAATATTTCATGTTAGGCCAATCATCCTACAGTAACAACTAATCGAAACAACTCACCTTTAATATTTTTACTACACACTTTTCGTCACTTATAACATTGATAGCCTCAAAGACTTCACTGTATTTTCCACGTCCTAATTTTCGTACCAGTTGGTAGTCATCCTGCTGTCCCCAATCTACGACATAACTTTCGTAGTCCCAATACTCCCTTGGTTTGTGGGCATTTACTTCTGCATATACTCTAGCTCGACTAGGTAGGGCCATACTATTATAATTTAAAATATTAATCACAAATTGTCCAACATAGGGTCTGGTTCCAACTGAAAAGAAAACGCAAAATAAATAATTGTTCCCAAAAAATAGGCGAATAAACTAACTCAGTGAGGAATAATTGGCTAAACCTTGCGTTCTTAGTTACCTTGTTTAAAGCAGAGTTTTGCTAATCTAGTACATTTAATCAGCATTACTACTTATCAGATCCTTCAAATTTGTAAATTTCATAGTCAACAGCCTTGTACAGGTAGGCAGAAACGCACGCCATTCCCCACATAATATTATAGTTTGAAAATATAGGCTACACTTAAAAACTTCCTACCTAATTTGTTCCGTAGAAACTTAAATACGAAAATATCCGATTCTCCGACACATAGTCTTTATTCTAAACTTATTTTTGTAAATAAATACTACAGTGTGCCTACAAGGCCGGCGGCTTCTTACAACCGATTCATGAAAGAACCAAGATGGAAGGAACTTCCATGCCGCCCGGACACACTGGATTCGAAGCTGTTCTAAAGCCACTTATTTCAGTATAAGCTGTACCCCTCTAAAACTACATTGCATATTCCAGCGGCGTGCTTCTAACCTCTAATGATTTTTTTTAAACCGTATACCGGTTTAAACTTGACACCAACCTTTTTTTAATTAATACAAATGGATTATAAACAAGTAAACACTTTTTCCAACTTACCTTTCGTGAAATTCGAAAGAAAATCAACCAAAATTTAAGAGTTATGGCACACCACTGCAAACGTATTCAAAAAGAAGGAATTTTCATTGCCGACCTAACTGTTAACAAAATGGTTAAAATTTGTGCCACGCGATATAAAATACACCTGAATAGAGGGCGACACATTTGGTAGATTTGTCGGCGTAGCCAATGCACAAATCTCATATTCCCCACACAAGGACGAGCAGCATTAATTTCAAATTTGTGATGACGCGGTAACTTTAGTGTTTATCACCTAGCTACTAGATATATATACAGGCTCTGATCATGTTGATAATAAAATAATTTTTGAAACAACATAGAAAAAAATATTGAGACATTTAACATGCGCATGCGCGGTCAATTGAAATTTCGTTTTGAACTAATAAGACCTAACATTTGCCAACAAACATGGCCGTTGACGGTTCGCCAATTCGACAGATCAGTTTAGATATAGCATTTTTACATCAGTTTTTTCTAAAAATTGGCCCAGTTATGAGAAAACGAGTTTAGTCTATAAAAATCACTTCGAAATAAAATGGCGCAAACTGCGGTTTAATGGATGAAATTTAGGGGCATTCGCGGAAGATCGTTCATATTTATAAACGCTTCTTTTCCGTTTAATTTGTGCTGCATCAATTTTTGTCAAACTGGGGACCCATATTATTTAATAGCTGTTAGTTTATTAAAAATGATACGGGTAACGCATTTTTGAAGGAAGTTATTCGAATGCCCCATGATTTAGAGCTTTCTAATGTGATTTATGAACCAACATGTGCTGCGCTTTGAAATACGAATTTATATAAGGACCAGTAATAAATGTGTCCATTAGAGCAAAACCAAAATATTTAGAAACTGTTATTTATTAAAGTCTACGCTATCAGGAAGAAATGTACATATTTCACAAAACTTATAAAAATATTAACTAATGGTATCCTGGATTATTAAGGTTGAATGTATTACACAGGACTGCAACACGGGAACTTCGTCACTAACCCCATTACAGAAAATTTCTAAATTAGCACCTAAATCAAAAGTACCGGGGCTAGTCACTATCACAGAGAGTTGAACCGAAGTGGTAGTCAATGGGTTTAATGTTCTCATTATTTTCCCACTGGCCAGCCAACATAAATTTCTCAATCCAACAGGAGAAAGCGAGCCTACTGGTTTGGCACTGCAACACAAGAAAACCTATAGTTAAAATATTACTAACACTTTTATTTTTTCATAAGAATAATCAACTAAAACTTTTCAAGAGCGATTTCAGTCGAAAGTTTTGGTAAATTCTTTCCATTTTACTCTGCCTTTATTTTTATTTTTTCTACTCCAACACACTACCACCTGACCGGGTGTAAGATGTGATATTTTTAAACACTTGGGTATAATATTTGATAGAAAACTATTCTTTAGAAACCACATTCATCAAGTTTGTGGAAATGCACCAAAAAAGCACGATGACCTTGATGTTTGCTTTGACTATAAAATTGAAATTGACTTAATAGATTTACCAACTACTTTTACAATTTTCCATTTATTCAAATTCTCCATATTACTGTTGCTGTTGAAAATGAAGAATGTTATATCATTTTATAAGTTTAAAAATACTATTCTGTTAATACTAAGAAATAGTTTATTCTTAGAGTAATGTTGTTTTAAGACCTATTCTGGGTAGAGTTAAGCATTACTGTTGTTAATTTGTGCTAACCTTTAAAGGAGCACAATGTGCTTGTTTGGGAAATAAAATAAAATAAAAAAATTTAAATCATCTAGAAAGTGACGACACTGTTTAAATAAAAAATGGAACAAACCTGCATTCGACGGTATTTACAGTAACGGAAACGGCTCTATCGACGATACTATGGAGGACTAGGGTCACTGGGACAATGCAAGTTTTTTGTTTCCCGAAGTTATGTGCGACGATTGACGGATGAATCAAGTTGTAAGTTACTTGTTTCTGGGAGTTTTCAGAGCGCGAATCAAACTCCTTGGGAATATTTATATCGATAATAGTATCGGAAATTAGTTTATCCAGTCGTATCTGATTATCGTCACTCCTATTCACTTCCAGTGGCATAGTGGTATGTCCATGTACGATTCTGCGATTGGAAGCATCGTAAACCAAGGCTTGCCACTCCAAAGACAAGATGCCGTCATCATTGCATTTGCTTGTGTGATCTTCGAAAATATTCACTAAAGGTTTCTCCGCTTTCCTGGCGAAAGCCATATAAGCTTTCTGTAAATGTGTGGATAATGCTTTATCCGAACTTAAACGAATGAGGGAATAATGGCTTTCCTTGTGAGGTCTTCTGGTTGCTTTAAACAAAATATGCGCCGATTCGCGTGAATTTAGATTAATATATTTCGGGGTCACTATGTCTTTAAACAAAACCCAATTTTTACTTATCATCACAACACTACTTAGCGTTATTTCGGTTGAAATCGAATAGTTATGGACGTTATTCAGATTCGTTACTTTCAAAGCTAAGGCCAGCTCTTCTTCTGTAACGGAATTATAACTAGTTTGCGAAAACATATCTATCGTTATAGATTCTTGTACTAATATTTTCCAGCTATGCCTAATAAGTCGATACCTGGGAACTCCGTTTTCATTAACATTTTCATAGTAAATAAGTACGTCTATTGAAGCGGGACCTTTAACTGGTGGAGCTTTAATATACAAATGAAAAATCGTTCTCTCACCACTTTTTAATATATTGTTGCTAAGAGGTATAAAAGTAACGTGATTTTTCCTTGCCAATTTCTCTTTACCCGCTGGTGCTATATCCTTTTGTTCGATAAAAACGTTCACCTCCGATTGGAAATCGCATTTGCTTACTAGATGAGGCACCGACGTGGCTAATAAGATATTTTTAATAGGTACCGATCCCATATTTTGCAAATCGACTGCGATCCTTTCTATCTGACCAGCCAAAAATTCCAAATTTATTTCGGAAAATGTCATCTGAAAATAGTTTACGTTCATATTGGTTTAGTGCAGTCGAAATGTCTCGAATACTATGGGCTATTGGGTTTGTGACGGTATTAAGTGTTTTTACCAAATAAAAAAGATAAATAGGTTTTTAGATTGTTGAGCAGAAATTCATCCGGCATATTGTTATTTTACAATTTTTAAGTAATTTTTATTCTTAAGATTCTACTTGCTTTCTTGTTAACTGCTTAAGTGTCTATTTAAATTAGTTATAATTAATTAAATTTGAAATCTGAAATATAGGGTCATTGAAAGGGATAGTTTTCCAAAAAGAGTCGTCCTGCAAGTGAAATGTGCAGCTGGTTAAGAGAAAAATGAGTCCTACCAGCGTTGCCAACCTTATCAGTACCTTCTGAACATACCTGACTTAAAAATTTTGGTAAAAAAATGTCAAAAAATTGTGTTAATGTCAAATATTGACAGGTCAAGGTTTTTTTTTAAAGAACACCGTTATTAATTCAAATATTTTAATTTCTACATTCAAAAATCTGTGATAATTCATCCATTATCAGTTTTAACAGGAAATAAGTCTAATTTTCTTTAAAGATATAAAATGTTAAATACAATAATTTATATCGCCTATATGTGGCGCTTCCTTCAAAAACCATTACAGTAGATATGAGTGCGTGTGTAGGATCCTGTGATAAAATACAGGATGTTTTGAGTAGATGGGCAAGGCTGCATTTATGAAAATATTTCTAAAATATAGATTATTACCTATTATGTCTGTAAACCAAATAAAGCATTTAAAGTCAATCACTCTATATATAAGAAAAATCTAAGCACTGTAACTCTACATGGAGGACACCTTTGATTATTTTTCCCAAACTTATCAAAATATCTTTATTAAAATTTGAAAAGCGTAAAACCGCCATAGTTCACCTAAAAACCGCCAGTATTTAATGATAACAAAGTAAAATTATTACCTGCAAGCAAGGTGCAAATGGTACAATTTTCATATCGATGGGCTTAATGTTGTTGGTGCTACTGGAAACGTTCAGCACTTTTGCACCTTTAATGGAGAGAGTTTCGGAACCAGACAATGTGTAACACACCCCAGATATCGTCAAATTACCCACAGCGAGAGGCATTAAAGAAAGTATCAAATCTTGTGTCGAATTCGCTTGAATTACCAATGATTTGGTTATATAAGTCTTCACGCATTTGTCCGCGGATTCGTTGGAAATATTATTGTTTGTCTTCTTATTGTCATTTTCATGTGCCCAAAGAAGATAAATATTTTGCAATACCAAAACCGTTTGAAGAACATTTACCAATTGGATCGATACTTGAATTGGTTCATTAATTATAGCCGTAGGCGTGGTTTTTTCCAGCGCATTGGCCATATATAAAGTGATTGTCGGTTTAAATATTAACGGCGTAGAACCACTGGCCTCGGCTACTAACATTTCTTCCAATTTATGCCATTTATCTAACTCCTCCCTGTTTCTAGAACTATTAAAATTAACACCCGAAGCGGATACCTTTCCTGGAGTCGATAGAGGTTTGGTAGGACCCAAGAGTACTTTTATAGATGAAGCATTTAATTCCGGAATGGGCAATGACGGATAGGACTCATCTTCATCCCTGTTTAATTTACTCTTAAAATAAGGCAAATATGGATATGGATGAGGTTATAAATACAACAAAATTTACCTCCAAAATTGTTAGGTACTCTTTTAAAAAAACCGCTTGTTGTAGAGCTGTTTGCTTACTTCCGCCGTGAAGAAGTTTGGAGAATGACTCCACAGCTTCTCCAAATTGTTGCAAGTTATTAGCTTGACGTCCGATCGTATAATGAATATGATCTGTCGCCAAATCCCATCCCGTATTCTCATAAATCCGATAAGCCTGCCTATAACACCTCAAAGAATGTTTCTTTTGGGCAGCTTTAGAAAACCTATGACCTCCTAAAACCATATGGAAGGCATATTTTCTCAGCATATTCGAAAGAAGGAAACAATAAGCCGCTTGCTCCAGCAGCAACGCCGATCTCAAATCTGAATCCTCGCTGGTCATTCTTATTAATTGGTGTGCGGCTTCACCATACATGCTTTTTGCTTTCAAACATTCTAAGCTTAAGATGGTTGCCCTTGTCGCAAAATGCGGCATTCTGAAAATATCATACAAAAGTATTGTTTATGAATCTATAATCACTTATTGAGAGCCAATATGGAAAATAGTGTTACATCTTCCAAAATTTCACGTTCTAAACGCACATGATTACCATTGGCACATTTAAATTGACTCTTAATGTTGACCTATCAGATTTTAGATTTTATTCAAATGTTTTCTAAATTACTTTTACCTTCTGAGATCATGCGTTGAGATTTTACACAGTTAAGCACCTAAAGGGAAGCAGTAACATATCAAACACAATAAAGTGATTGGCTAAAAGCATTATGTAAAGAAAATTCTAACACCATAAGCAACAGGTTCCCATTTATATATGTTTGTTTATGGTGGCTCCTTGAATAATGTGATTAGTGTTAAGTGGAAGTGCATATTAAAATACAAAGCTCGAGTTTGAGTTACTACAAATAATATGATGAAGATGAAATATATTAAATGTGCAACTGTATAAGTGTAAGTTTGGGTTTAACGAATTTATGAAATTAGTATTTAATACAAAAACAAGAATAACTCTATTTAAATAAAAATCAGTTAAAAAAAAAGAAGAAAACCTACTTGCAAGTGTTTAAATAAGTTGTAATACTCTCTTCCATATAGTCGAAAGTTTTCCTTGAGGATTCATTCGCCATAAAAGCGGACAGAGCGGCCATTTCCAACGCTCCAGCATAATACAGCCACGCTTGATCTGCATTGTAATCTCTCTTAGCCAAATGATACGCTTGAAAGGCGGATAAGTAATTCCCAAACATAAAATACAAATCACCTAGTCTTCGAATTTGCAATTCGGGGGAGTCATTGGAATAACTTCAAAACGAAGCACATCTAATTAGAAAATTAGAGAAAATTGTATGGGTTACCTCACATTAAGTTGTTCACTGCCACAGCACTAGCACCAGGTTTGTTTGCACTAAACCATCTTTTGGTAGCACTGAATAATGATTTGCTTACTCCTTTCTTAATTGAAACAGCGTCGTTTAAAATTAGGATTTGTTTTTCCACATATGGTAACAAACAATATTTAACAAATCCAAATATTAGGGTTTTCACTTGCTCCACATCCTCAGCTGATAAATAAGTTCCATGGGACTGCAACTGCTTTGTCTTGTTTGGTATAATTTCATCTTTATCGCTACTGGAATCATTCTACAAAAAATAGCACAGTTACAGAACTATTTTGCTTATAGCACAAACTAAGACGTAAATGTGCGTGCAGCTTAATTTATGACTGTCTATACAACCCACTGCCGGATGCCAAATTTAGCCATGGTATAACAACCAATTGCAAGAATGGAAAATGGAAGCTTTGAGGATTGCAAAAATATAAGTACCATTATGTCATCCACCTCTGTACTAAGAGGGTGATAATTAAGGCTTCTGGTTTCATTTGCTTCTTGTCCTATTTCTAGAGAGATATGTCTATGGGTACTTGGTGAGCTTTCTGGTGTTGTACTGTATGTTTTGGTATCAATTTGGCTGCTTAAAAATTGACTCCAGGGATCGACCATGTGCTCTTGTTGTACAATTCCTGGAGGTCTTGAATTCATCCGCAATAAAAAGCAATTGTTTACTCCGTATGATGTTTTTAATGATTCAAAAGCTTCATGTGCCCTAACAAAGAGCACCCTGTGAGAACATTATAACTATGACAATTTGGTAAACACTTACCTATTAAAATCTCCTTCAATGTTGTCATGAACCATAACATAGTATTTAAGTATATTAGCATTAAACCATTTTGGCAGTGATCCTTGAACTGGACTGCTTTGTATTTGATTTAGATTTTGGGCTAATTGAACCATAACTTCAACCGGATTTTTGTCTGATGAAGATACCACTAGCAGACACGCTAGGAAATGCTTAGTGAATTCATGATCGGAGTGATATTGAACTTTAAAGTATGTATCTCGCCAACATTCATACCAAGGTGTGGAAGAAGGTATATTGAGTTTATATTCTTTAGCTTCAAATAATGTATCTTTTGGTACAATTATGTCACTGACAGATGAATTTAATAGTTTTCTTGCCATGGCAGGATGTGGAGGTCTTACTTTCATGTCTAAAAATGTTAGTTTCAAGTTTTTGATTACCACAACAGCACCATTTGGATCTTTATAACTGGCTAAAAACAGAGAAACATTGACTCAGTTCTTTACAATGTACTTAACTTACTTTCAGCAGTTAACTTCGAAAAGGGTTGAAGCAACTCTACAAAATCCAAATTATTTTTTTCACAACATTTTTCTGCTTCTGGTGTACACATAACGGCAATCAAAGGCGTGAAAGCAGATTTAATAAATTCTTGCGGTGTTTGCTTACATTGAGCCATTTTTATTAATCATTAATTTATTATAAGCTTATTTCAAATAATTTAATTACTACTAATCAGGGACTTAATTTTTAAGAAGTTCCCGAGTCGTTTTCAATTTGAGTTAAATTCTTATTTTCATTTCTAACCTCCCCAAACTGAAAACCACCCACTTGTCACTCAGCTGTTTTGATTAAATGTTTGACACATCGCAAAATATGAAAATAAGAGTTTTTTATGTATCTTAAATTTAATTTCCTGACCTTTAACAAAACAATTATAACGTCAGTAATAAAGTTTGATTTGTTGTTTGGTAAAATCAGCATACGGCATAACCCATTTTATCTTGATAAATGTACGCATGTACATATCTTAGGCAACCAGGATCACTATTTACGATAAATTTTGTTCCTGTGGATTTACATGGTGGTTTTCCGGACGTTCGACCGCATATTTTGTGTTCGAAAATAAGTTAATTGTAAATAAAATTGTAAAATGAGTTTTAAACACTGCTTGTCTACGTGGAGCGAGTTGGGTTGCATACCTGCGTGGGCAATATAAACAAATATATTTAAAATAAAACAAATATCACATGGCATTTTCCACTAGATGTAATGACAGCTTCTTAAATAAATTTGATAATTAAAAATATGCTGTTCTGTACCGAGTCCTTAATTTTAAGTCAATATCACAAACTGCTACGAATACACGTTAATTTTTCGTTAGATAAATATTTGTAGTTAAATGTGTTTCGGTTGTGATGTATAGTCAATTGTTTGTTTTTGCATAAATTTCGGAAACAAAAGCGGAAAGGTCTCCGAAGTAATTCAAATCAAGGACTTAATTTTGCTCCAAGCCAATTGTATGTGATGTCATAATGACATCATCGCGAATGTTTCGTCTCGCACAAGTCAAGAAGACAAAATGTTTTCAATTGGAACTTGAAGGCGGGAACTGTGAGTTGTATTGGTAAAAGTGAAATTATCTCGTGTACATTAACTGTTGCTAAATTAACGCCATTGCTGTTGACTGTTGCTGGTCTCTAGAATCAATAGCAGCTGACGTCAGAGTTTGTTCCATCGCGATATCAGTTAATGCGGTAGGGGGGTAGTGCACTTGTAACTTGGCTAGTAGTGTCATGTATCCGCGCAAGTGGTTTCATGAACGTTGTTATGTTTTGTGACTAAATTTTGTTGTGTGGCGCTGTTTTTTGGCGTAAGTTTTTGTTTTACCTTATATGCATTGCATGTCGTTAGGGACATAAGAAAATCGAATTACTAGGCCTCATTTTATTCTTTTTCGTTACGTGCCGAGTGGCCTTCACCGGCGTATTACTGTTGACATTGAAGGCCTTAACGCAAAGACTGCAAAAGGCTAAGGGAGGTCAACAATTCACATGTGCAGCTCAAATTGTACTTTTAAGTTCGATTACTCTCTAGTGATAACCTGTCACTGTTCTTTTCATGAGGTTTTTTAAGCCTCGGTTGCCTAACCTGCGACCTGTGACCTTCCGATTTGAAGCGCGCGAGTTATCAAATTCTCAAACTCAGAAATGAACTATTTTTACTTTGACTCTGAACGGTTTATATTTTTACCAATGTATTCATTCCGTCCGGGTTTGAAGATTTGCTATATATTTGTTAATATCGACGTTTTATAAAAAAAAGTCAATTTCATCCCGTCGTCCAACAGTAGCAAAACAGGTTGTATCGGTTCTCGATGTCAAGACTGAAAAAGGAAACAAAAATAAAATCCCTCAAGCTCTCGGTACCAATAAACGGTAATTAGCCAGTGCAAATTCATACATTCAGTTTTCACATATTTAACCAGAAACTGGAAAATTAAATGCAGCTGGTGATACTTGGTAGCAGCAAAGATGGTTGCAGATGTTACACTTACACCCTTTTCATTTGTTTTTATTGCAAACTTGGGTTACATTGATTGTTTGTGTTTAAATTTATTATATAATATCGGTGTCTCTAATAAGTGTGTTTAGTACCAACGTTCTCATGCGATTTTTAAATAAAACATTTGAAGCAAAAAATATTTGCGTTTTACATTTAGGTGTGTAAAAATCAAATAAGATAGGCAGTTGAATTACTTAATTTAATCCTTATAATTTTATACTTTCGGCATAATAATTTGATAATTCGTTTCAGGCTAGGGGACCTAATATAATGAATTTGTTTCATACTGCACCTCAGGTGAGTACATTTTATGGGTATTCTGATTACAGTTTTATATTTTTTTAATTTACATTGCCTTGCCTAAATAGCTTTGCAAATTATCCGCTGTTGGTTACACTGCCAAAAATGTGTGTTATCATAAATGATAAGATAACCTCATAAATCATATTAATAAAATAAATTTTACTTGCATGGGCTTAAAAAACACTGAGTAGAGTTTTGAAAACTTTCGGTGGGCTCACAAGTTCCACACCATAAAATGTAGTTTGTATTTACAAACTTCTAACGCGGGTCGCTAGATGGCCCCATGCATTTCATCGACTTAATAAATAGATTTTTCATTTTTAGTGATCGTTTTTCCATGTTTATTACTAAATTGTCCTACAATTCTTGTGACTGTGTGATGTTTTAAGACCTTTTTTCATATAAAAAAATAAATATTCTTTAACTATTTCTTTTATAGCTACCTCAAACTTAGTTCGTACCTAATAATAATCTCATGTTCGTTGTTAATTATAATACCTGTTAACAAAATTTTACGTGGGTGGCGTTAATCGTATGCGGTTTGATTTGATCATAAAAATGTGCACAACAGTATGTCGTCACTTTGATGACACCCGGTCGCTACTAGTACGCCTTTTTTTATAAGGTCGTACAATATGCCGCTAAGATTTAATACGTAGTTTTGTCATGGTGTGTTTTTGTTTATCCATAATACTTAATTTTAATTGTTAACGTCGTCGTTCATTTTATTTGATTCCTAGTTCGTTGATTCCGCTTCCCCGGTGACACAATAAGCAATAAAATATGAATTAGAAAAAGTAGTACATTTTATTTCTGGCCTTACACGCGGTATAATTAGACCAGACCTTTCGGTGGGTTGACCCTTTAAGGTTATTGTCTCTGCATTTTAATAAAAAATTACAAAATCGATCCATTCGGCGAGGAAGTTGTCCCGTAAATAATTTCTCTGTTGAGGTAACAATAATTGTTAACACAAGTGAATATTGTTTTGGCCAAGTGGAAATATGCGAAATGTTTAGTATATAGTATCAGAGAAAAATATTATAGTTAAAGTCTGTTCATAGATATAAGAAAGTGACTAACTGATACGAATTAAGGAAAGACCCGGGCAAGCTGTAAGAATGAAATATGGCCGAACAGGTGCGTACTTTGCTTAGAATTTAATTATTTGGGGTTTTGTTAGGAAAAATACTAAACAATATTTATTTATTTATGTATGTATTTATGTTTGAATCTAAAATAAAATTACAAATTATTTTTATTACCTATTTAAATTACTTAAAATTATTAACATAATATATCAGTATCACTATCGCTATCATCGCCTGTTCTAATTATTATTTGTTCTATTATTTGCATTATGGATATTGTTTTGCTTTTTCTATATGTTTAACAGAATTTGCCGAACTTTGTGGAGGGATGTTAAAAACTTCAGTGTCTGTAAGTTTGAGGACATTGGAGTTAACACAGGGAAAAATATTGTTACGACGAATGGCAGATTTCAGTTGGTGCCAAACATGTTCAATGGGATTAAATATACAGTGGTAAGGTGGAAGCCTTAAAACTGTATGCCCTAGATTTTTTGCATCACAGACTAGCTAGCTTCAAGCTTTGTAGAACCTCAATTAATTGCTTTTTGGTATAATCTTACATGTAGTTTTGGATTGTTGCTTTTGTGTCACATGAGGAAGGGGTTTTACTCAACTCTCTACTGTGATAACTTGCATTGTCCATTCCAATGACGCTATTAGGAGGAATGTTTGGAAATAGTTTGTTTTTAAACCAACTTTCAAATAAACCAGCGGTGGAGTCTTCATGGTAATCCAGAGAAGAATCTTTAATATTTTTCGCAGACAGAGAAAGTCCATTTGGAAGCCAACCATCTTTAGAGCCAGCATGCAAAATAGTTATTCTTTTACCTCTTTGTGATGGCGCGTTTGTTTTACACTTATCAGTTGACTCAACCAAACCCATTTCCGGGGTATCATAAGTATCTAACCAGGTTTCATCCAAGTAAATAATTGGCTTTTGTTGTTATCTGTAAATCCTAATTTTTTCTAGATATTCCAGTCGCCATTTCCAAATTCTAAAAGATTCCATTAAAACTTGCCTTTTGTCAATTTTTTTAACTCTAAAACCCATGTGTTGAATACACCTCCATAAGGTAGTTCTGCCACACTTAACATCGGTTTCATCTTTTTCAAGTCTCCTAATTAAGATATCTAATATAGGCGCGCTTTGTTCCTCGTATAACTGGTAAATTTTACGCCGCATTATACCTTGATCACTTTCATGTACATTCGAGAAAATGTCAGGATCGCTTCTTTTTTTCCTCGCTGAAATGGGATTGATTATTCACAATTTTCCATACAGTTGATGTTGGAATTTTCGTCAATGTGGCCGTTTCTTCTAAAGATGCTTGCTTGGTGGCACCACATTCAATGAGAGTCAAATAAACATTGTTTATAACTTCCTTAGTCTCAATAGAATAGTGTTTTCTACATTTGGGCCGGGAGCATCTCCTGAGATACACTAGACTCACATATTTTGCATAATTCGCACACGATTCAACACACGCTGTATTACACACGAAATAAGAATGATTACTAATAAACTTAAACTAAGTAGTATACCAAACCAAAGAATATTAAACACAAGGGTATTATTTATATCAATTGAAGTATTAATATGTCGATATCGTTAAATATTTTTCAAAAATCTTTGGTTACTTCAACCTAGACATATATGGTGTAAATAAATAAATAAAATTACATTGAGAGAAATTGAACTTTGCGCGTTTTATCGCAAAATTTAAAAAAAAAATCAAAAATATTTTACTGAGCACATATCCTACGAATTCTTTTCAAAAGAGAGTTTCTTTTGGAAAATAGTAGGGTTGTGACCAATAAACTTGTAAATATTAAAATAAAAAAAAACATATATAATAAATAAACTAATATATTTTTTAAATCAAATGATTTCTTTGAAATTGAGATATAGTTCTCCTTTTTCCGTTTGCCTTTCAGGTAATGATGTTTAGGAAAACGTGAAAAAAAAGGGGGTGCTTAACTATTTATCGCGATATCGCTTGTGCGTCATTTGCATCAATAAATAATAAAAGAGTTGAATATTTTAAACCTAAGCTACATATAAAATGTTCGGTCGATGGAGCTAAAGATAGATCGGTATTATATTAAAAGAACAAAAATTAAGATTGTCGAGTTTCTATAAATGACAATCTTAATTTCAACCCTTTAGAGATTTCCGATGTTTTGTTTTTGCATCTTTATCTGCTACCGTCTCGCTTTCCTATAAAATCGCTAACGAGCCATCTAAGCGAATTTTACGCGACATCATTTACGAAATTACAGCTGTTCCCTCAACACTCAATATTATTGAAAAGCATTAATGCCTTTAGATTTTATGCGAAAATAAACAAGTTGGTGTGTATACAAGCTATTCCCCTTTCGAGTGAGAAGTTAAATAAATGAAATAAAATTTGCGGGCGTTAAACCAAGTGCTTTAAAACAATAGCGCCATTTTGCACACCACTTTAGTAACGTCTTGTCCACTTGGTGATAGGCAATATGGAGCAACTCGTTTTTGTGTTTATGTTCATACATTCATACAGCTTTTGTTATAATCTCTGGGATATTCTGCTTTTATGGTAAAAATTGTATCGTATTTTTATTTCTTTTGTCCCAAACTGCCCACCGTGGCACTCAAGCGGGCACTATGCCTTGGCTTGCGCCTATTATTATTTGGAACATTAAAAAAAGGTCCAGCTTCACAAAGACTTTTGAAGAACAGCTGATTTGGCGATTTACCGAGACTGGTCTTTGAATGATTGGGTTTCCGGTGAATATAAGAGATCTAAATAGGTTATCCATATTTTTAAATCAACTCTCACATGCGCGTACGAAGGGTTAAGTTTCATTACATTGATCTTGGAAACCTGTAAAACCTGGCAAGTCATTAAACGATCATTAAATTATCCAAAAGTTTTTTTATAATAATTTAATACGCTTTTGCGTTTTCTTATATATTTTTTTGAGATTATGACTTGTACTATTCTTAATTTTTCATTCAATCTTGTCTTATAATACTGTTATTTTGTTGTAATTTTGTTTGCCTCAGGATTTTGAGTTTACGTATTAGAAACGATAGGTTTTTTTTTGTAGATTTCCTCATAAGGACCGTGGCAGTGTTCCACTTGCTTTATTCTGAAGTCTTTGAAGTCGGTTTTGTTGTTGTTTAAAACGTTTATTGCCCCAAGTATTTGTATGTATTGCTTTATCTAGTTAGGCTCTTCATTTAGTTTAATTTCTTTAGGTATTAAGGTGTGATTTTCGTAATTCGTTCTTTGAAACTTTCGATGATTTCTTATTTTTATTCACCCAGTATTTAACAAATCCTGCTTTCTGTCAGTTAATTTTATGTTTTATGCGAAAATGGTAATGTTTATTAAAAAAAATCGTATTTTGCAACAATAGCTATCGAAGTCAAAAAATATCTGTCTTTACAGTTTTAAGTATGTTATGTACTACCTCTTTCATTTTGTTGCACTTTTGCTTGTTTAAGATTTTAAGTTGATGTGTAAGGAGAGATGTTGATTGAAATGTACCGGATTTCGCTTGCCAAATTCTGAAGTCTTTGAAGTCGGTTTAGTTGTCGAATAATTTGATTACCCAACCTGGATTTCGTCAGTTAGTCCTTCTCTTTTTCGCTTTGTCTATTTTCTGCCAGTTAATTTTCTGCTTTATGCGAAGCCCATAATTGGTAATTAAAGGGCAGTAATTAATTTTTACGGAAGCACGTGTGATATGATCAATAAATTGTCATAAAATGTAAAAGAAAAATGATAAAAAAACTGATTTAAAATAAAAAAATATTTAATATTGAGTAGGTTATTTTTCCTCCGTATCAATATTTTATCCTTGTTCTGGTGTTTAAAGGAACGCCATAACCTCTCGTAAAGATTGACGTAGGCTGCG